TACAGGTTATAAATATCTTACTAAAACACCACCCATATTTATCAATATCCAAAATTTAACAATTCTCGTGGGTCGGCGTGGTCGAGTCGGTAAAGCTCATGTTGCATAACCGAAAAGTCTCGAGTCCGAACCCTCGGGCAGATGAGGCTCGTTAGCTTGGGACATCCACTCTGCTGCTAGTTGTTTGTTCTTGGCTGAAGTTAGAGGGCGATCCCTTCCAACACTAAAATTAAGAACGAAGAAGAGACAATTCTGAACAAGTAAATAATATACATGTTTGCTTTATTTCTGTGACTTTTTTTTTCCTATGCAATTTTTCCGTTGTGGTTTTTTTATGTGATTTTTTTTTTCTCCTAGAAAAAAAAACTGCAAATTGGTTTCTGTGTTTTCCCTCTGACTTTTTCCTCTGTTCGCCGTGTTAACTGGTACATTTCTCTCTCTCTCTTGCGTGTTGTGTAACAATTCAACACATTTAAGCTTAACTACTGTACACTAAAATAATCAGAGTAGTTCAAAATACTATCAGTTTATAGAGTAGCTTCCCTTGTCTACACCAGCTGTTGCACCCCCCCCCTCCCCTCCCATCAGTGCATGATTAAGCTGGTTTGGTTACACACCGTTAGATGTGTACCTCGCCTCACGTTTATCACCAGATCACAGTGCACCGCCCCAACAAAGATTTACCATGCAATGTCGCCTGCTCTTTTTTTTTACTTCTCACTCTCCTACCCTACAATCGTCTGACGAGAACAGCTTTGTTAAACCGAGAGCGTATGAAAACCAGCGGTGCGTGACCACGGTGAACCCTCCCGGCGCGTGGCCGGGGTCAATGTCACGGTGGCAGATGGTCAGGCCGGTGTGTACACCCGACACACACACCCATAGTACACGTGTACACACATGATTTATCTGAGCCGGGTTTCAATGGGAGTTATCAAGCAGACAATACGTGTTGAGAACTGTTGGCAGATCCTAGATTTCACGGCGTCTTTGTCTACCGAATGCCGGAAATAGCGCAAGAGGTCAGGGGAAACGTTTTTCTTGTTAACTTTAAACTAGATCTACCACCATTACCATCCTTTCACTTCCTACTGATAAACTTTAGCTTTCTGCTTACACCTATACTGTGATAAAACAATCCTTTCAACTGTGTGACTAAACTAATTGAACGAGAGCCTACGGTATTCGCGGGGGTAAAAAATTTCTGTGTACTTTGGTCGAGCTTCGCCTAGTGCACGGTGGAGCAGGGGTGTACGTGAGTCGGCTCGTGCCGTATTTCTGCGCCTCTGTTATGTAGGCCAAATTTGTGGGTGTCTTCCGCACATTGTGTTGGTTGGTCTACACGGTGAGCTGCCGGGGCCGGAGTGTAAACAACCGCTGGGGGCTGGCAACATGGACATCTAACTCACGAGACTTTTGACGTAAGTTTTTTTTTTAACCGTGCTCACGATAGGAGGAGGGATGGAGTACTTTTTAACGGCAACTGTCAAGCTATTTATAGTTCAGCTTTTGTTGAACAGTAGAACTATTATACGTATGGATTTTAGCAATATGCCTACCTACTATTAGTATAGCTATTAATAGCACGAAAAAGTTATTTCAGGTTTTTCAAACTAAAATGGTCGTTTATTTGTGCTGGGAAAGAGTTGTTCTATTTATAGACCTATACAGTAGCACAGTAACACGGCAAAGGTCAAATGACATGTTAAAAACGACCAGATGTGTAAACATTAACGTGATAGATACAATCATAGGATGTGTTGAACATAGGCTGGTAGACGGGTTTAATGGTGGTCTAGAGGTGGCAACTGATGCTCCGGGCATAGTATATTTTTATAGGGCATTTATTAGACCTATTTAAAAGTTTTATTTATAGACCTGCAGATATAATAGACTGCCCGGAGGACTATATATATATATATATAGGCCTATATATATATATATATATATATATATATAGGCCTATATATATATATATATTTATACAGACCTGGACAATATATATTTTCTATGCACCAAGTCCAAGCGTATATATATATATATGTAGGCTATATATATATATATATATATATATATATATATATATATATATATATATATATATATATATATATATATATATATATATATAGGGCCTATATATAAATAGAGAGAGAGACCTATATATAGGGCCTAATATATATATATATATATATATATGTATATATATATATATATATATATATATATATATATATATATATATATATATATATATATATATATATATATATATATATATATATATATATATATATATATATAGGGCCTATATATAAATAGAGAGAGAGACCTATATATAGGGCCTAATATATATATATATATATATATATATATATATATATATATATATATATATATATATATATATATATATATATATATATATATATATATAATGTGTGTGTGTGTATACGCCTATATATAGACCTATGTGTATAAAGTATGGCAGGAAGAAGGATATTAAAAAATCGGAAATCGTGCTTAATTAAAAGGAATTAGATTTGTTCGGATCATCATAAGCACTTCCTCTTTTCTAATTACCATTTTAATTTTAAAAACACATCAAAACAAAAAAACAAACAAACAAAAAAAGCAGGAGTGAGCTCTATAAAGAACGCAGACAGCGATAAGGGGGGGGGGGGAGGCGGTGAGTGTACATTACGGTTCGACCGTGCTTGGTATTTAAAGACGTGAAGGAAATCCATACGCTCAAATGATGTCATCAAAAAAAATTTCCTATTACGTTTCTGTAAGCACGGAGCTTGTGTCTACAATAATCTAATTGTTTACGTTAGATTTTGGATGTTTATAAACAGTTCTTGTGTGTATCTGATTCATTGTGATTGTGTGTTCAATCTTCTTCACGCGTGCTAGAGGTTCGCTTGTAAGTTTAAAAACAATAACATTGACAGCCAGGCTTCAGGCTGATTTAGCCACTGGTTAAAGGTAGCATCACGCGTCTAACTGCTAGAGCGGTGTTCCTTTAATTATCGTCTGGTTTTCTGGTTTTACACCTCTTTTTAAATGATTATTTGTTGAAGGTATCAGCTGCTATTATTTACGGAATTTTCATTTTGCTTGTATATCCGGAGGAAATTATATACGGTTGTTTGTTTATCGGGGTGTAGATTAAAGTACACCAAGTTTCCCTATTTGGTTATGTGAAGCGAGACTTGTATAAATGCCATCACTACCTTGAATAGACACACCGTCTGTCTAGTAAATAGTCCCTAGTTTCTCCACAGTCGTGTACTCTTCTCCTTTTTTTCACACAGTGACAAATGCGTGAATCACCCACCACAAAACGGGTGACATATTTTCTAAATGACGAAACACAGGTATAACTCGTTAGGGACACTATACTGGTCTTTTTATGGTTCTTATCTTTAATCCTTTCCACAATTGTGGATTTGTTGTATCGTTGTGTAATTCTCTCTTCATACAGGTGTGTACTTTCTTTAATTAGCCCTTACTGCAGCTGTCTACTGTACTTTAACCCTCCCTTACTGCAGGTGTCTACTTTAACCCTCCCTTACTGCAGGTGTCTACTTTAACCCCCCCCTTACCTCTGGTGTCTTCTTTACTTTAACCCTCCCTTACTGCAGGTGTCTACTGTATTTTAACCCTCCCTTGCTGCTGGTGTCTACTTTAACCCTCCCTAACTACAGGTGTCTACTTTAACCCTCCATAACTACAGGTGTCTACTTTAACCCTCCCTTACTGCAGGTGTCTACTTTAACCCTCCCTTACTGCAGGTGTCTACTTTAACCCTCCCTTGCTGCAGGTGTCTACTGTACTTTAACCCTTCCTTACTGCAGGTGTCTACTTTAACCCTCCCTTGCTGCAGGTGTCTACTGTACTTTAACCCTTCCTTACTGCAGGTGTCTACTTTAACCCTCCCTTACTGCAGATGTGTACTTTAACCCTCCCTTACTGCAGGTGTCTACTTTAACCCTCCCTTACTGCAGATGTGTACTTTAACCCTTCCTTACTGCAGGTGTCTACTTTAACCCTCCCTTACTGCAGGTGTCTACTGTACTTTAACCCTCCCTAACTGCAGGTGTCTACTTTAACCCTCCCTTACTGCAGGTGTCTACTTTAACCCTCCCTTACTGCAGGTGTCTACTCTACTTTAACCCTCCCTAACTGCAGGTGTCTACTGTACTTTAACCCTCCCTTACTGCAGGTGTCTACTTTAACCCTCCCTAACTGCAGGTGTCTACTTTAACCCTCCCTTACCTCTGGTGTCTACTGTACTTTAACCCTCCCTTACTGCAGGTGTCTACTCTACTTTAACCCTCCCTAACTGCAGGTGTCTACTTTAACCCTCCCTTACTGCAGGTGTCTACTTTAACCCTCCCTTACTGCAGGTGTCTACTGTACTTTAACCCTCCCTTACTGCAGGTGTCTACTGTACTTTAACCCTCCCTTACTGCAGGTGTCTACTGTACTTTAACCCTCCCTTACTGCAGGTGTCTACTTTAACCCTCCCTTACTGCAGGTGTCTACTGTACTTTAACCCTCCCTTACTGCAGGTGTCTACTTTAACCCTTCCTTACTGCAGGTGTCTATTGTACTTTAACCCTCCCTTACTGCAGGTGTCTACTGTACTTTAACCCTCCCTTACTGCAGGTGTCTACTTTAACCCTTCCTTACTGCAGGTGTCTATTGTACTTTAACCCTCCCTTACTGCAGGTGTCTACTGTACTTTAACCCTCCCTTACTGCAGGTGTCTACTTTAACCCTTCCTTACTGCAGATGTCTACTTTAACCCTTCCTTACTGCAGGTGTCTATTGTACTTTAACCCTCCCTTACTGCAGGTGTCTACTTTAACCCTTCCTTACTGCAGGTGTCTATTGTACTTTAACCCTCCCTTACTGCAGGTGTCTACTGTACTTTAACCCTCCCTTACTACAGGTGTCTACTGTACTTTAACCCTCCCATCTCTGCTCCCCAGGACCTGGACCCCCATGAGACTGGCACTGTGCGGAGACGCACTAAAACTATCGTCACCCCTAAGATGGCCATGGAGAGTTTTCGTCTTTCGTTTCTCAACGACGGTAAATATTTTTCTTGTACTTCAATTAATTTTTTACATACTAGCTCGTGTATACACACACACGAGAGAGGTGTGTATGATTTCAACCCTCAACAGCATTAAAGTGTTTCCATCCCGGAATAGAACCCACGACCCCGCCATGTAACACACAATACACAGATACCCGCCATAAAGACAGCCAACAACACATCCCCACCGTTTATCCCGGCAGATATTCGAGGAATGTGCGATCTGCCCGCTGATTGTATCAACATATGTAACATAAGCGACCTGCATTTCTTCAAGCCTATCGATCTAATAGACAGTGCTTAGAAAAGGATTGTTTACATTGGTGAGCTGGAGACGAGGATTTCAATGGGGGATATTGGCTAGGGGGAGGGGGGGGGGGGGGAGAAAGCTGGGTAGCCACCGCTCCTTCCTCGAGGATCCAGGGCTTCTTTCAGACTGTCTTCTCGGGAGGGGGGGGGGGGGAGAGGAGGCTCTTAATACTTTCAGGATTGGGGGCAATGGTTAAAATATGTTTTCTATTTAAATAAAATGATTTTCTATTTCGTCCCGGGGGGAAAGGGGCAATGTACGTGGTATGGAGTCTTGTGTGCCCCCCCCCCCGGAGAAATGCATGAAAGAAACACGGGATACATTTTAGCTGACTAGGGTAAAATAAACGACTTGCTTATCTGAAAATTCTAACCATTACTTCGTGTCTGAGATATTGTATACTACTATATGGTGTTCACTATATTCTACTGGAGATAATAGGACCAGTCAAGGAAATAGTCAGCTATAGAATCTATTATGTGAGATCCAAACTTTGACGTCAAAACAGCGGGGTATTGACTTGAGTGTTAGTTATCAGGGGATGTCTGGAATGTGTCGACTGGTATTACCTGACCGGCTATCTTAGCAGCCTGGTGCTAATTATCGCTTGCTTGATTGGTGGGATTATATCCCGGATACTTTGGAATGCCGTACACCGGAACTCACGGCTTTAGGGCGGTAATCTAGACCTGCAGAGTTTAACACTCTGTCTGCTGCTGGGGATGTTTGGCCAGGCGTTGGATGGGTTTCCAGTCGTTTCTGACTGCACCACGTGACTTGAGTTTACAGTCATGTTTGACTGCACAGTAGCACGGCGTGGTAGCAATTACTTTTCTGACTGCACTATCAAAGATCCGATACATTTAAGTCTTTCTGAAGTATTGGGTCACCATTACAATTCACAAACACACTTATCATCACATTGTGATAGCCCCAGGTCTAAATATACAGATAACCCAGGTCTAACACTGGTCTAACTTTACTACAGATAGGTTAGGTCTAACACTGGGCTATTTTTACTACAGATAGGTTAGGTCTAACACTGGGCTAACTTTACTACAGATAGGTTAGGTCTAACACTGGTCTAACTTTACTACAGATAACCCAGGTCTAATACTGGGCTAACTTTACTACAGATAGGTTAGGTCTAACACTGGTCTAACTTTACTACAGATAGGTTAGGTCTAACACGGGTCTAACTTTACTACAGATAGCTTAGGTCTAACACTGGTCTAACTTTACTACAGATAGGTTAGGTCTAACAATGGTCTAACTTTACTACAGATAACCCAGGTCTAACACTGGTCTAACTTTACTACAGATAGCTTAGGTCTAACACTGGTCTAACTTTACTACAGATAACTGAAGTCTAACACTGGGCTAACTTTACTACAGATAGGTTAGGCAGGTCTAAATTAACAGATAACCCAAGTCTAACACTGAACTAACTTTACTACAGATAGGTTAGGTCTAACACTGGGCTAACTTTACTACAGATAGGTTAGGTCTAACACTGGGCTAACTTTACTACAGATAGGTTAGGTCTAACACTGGTCTAACTTTACTACAGATAACCCAGGTCTAATACTGGGCTAACTTTACTACAGATAGGTTAGGTCTAACACTGGTCTAACTTTACTACAGATAGGTTAGGTCTAACACGGGTCTAACTTTACTACAGATAGCTTAGGTCTAACACTGGGATAACTTTACTACAGATAGGTTAGGGCTAACACTGAGCTAACTTTACTATAGATAACCCAGGTCTAACACTGGCCCAACATTTACGAGCACGAATAACCAGAATTGAATAAAAACCCATTTTTTCCCTTGCTCTTAGTTGTCAACCCGACCATATAGACAATGTTTACAAGTTTCTCCCAAAATGAAAACTATGATAACGTTAACACCCCCCCCCCCCCCATTCCGCGGCCTCTGACAAAAATAGATCGATATAAGACGCCAGCAGACGGGGAAGACTCGGGGTGAAAAAAAAGTGTGAGCACTAGACTAGGAGGGTGAGGGGGCGGTGTGCCGATTCCTGGAGCTCTTGGCATCTCCCTGGGCCTGGCCAGTCTTGGTACCTAATGCTGTATGGTTAGGGTTGGCCGTGTAATGTGGTAACTGTTACCTAATGCTGTATGGTTAGGGTTGGACAAGGGTTGCTGCAAGTAATGTGGTAACTGTTACCTAATGCTGTATGGTTAGGGCTGGCCGTGTAGTGTGGTAACTGTTACCTAATGCTGTATGGTTAGGGTTGGCCGTGTAACGTGGTAACTGTTACCTAATGCTGTATGGCTAGGGTTGGCCGTGTAATGTGGTAACTGTTACCTAATGCTGTATGGCTAGGGTTGGCCGTGTAATGTGGTAACTGTTACCTAATGCTGTATGGTTAGGGTTGGCCGTGTAATGTGGTAACTGTTACCTAATGCTGTATGGTTAGGGTTGGCCGTGTAATGTGGTAACTGTTACCTAATGCTGTATGGTTAGGGTTGGCCGTGTAATGTGGTAACTGTTACCTAATGCTGTATGGTTAGGGTTGGCCGTGTAATGTGGTAACTGTTACCTAATGCTGTATGGTTAGGGTTGGCCGTGTAATGTGGTAACTGTTACCTAATGCTGTATGGTTAGGGTTGGCCGAGGGATGTGGTAACTGTTACCTAATGCTGTATGGTTAGGGTTGCTGCAAGTAATGTGGTAACTGTTACCTAATGCTGTATGGTTAGGGCTGGCCGTGTAATGTGGTAACTGTTACCTAATGCTGTATGGTTAGGGCTGGCCGTGTAGTGTGGTAACTGTTACCTAATGCTGTATGGTTAGGGTTGGCCGTGTAATGTGGTAACTGTTACCTAATGCTGTATGGTTAGGGTTGGCCGTGTAATGTGGTAACTGTTACCTAATGCTGTATGGTTAGGGTTGGCCGTGTAATGTGGTAACTGTTACCTAATGCTGTATGGTTAGGGTTGGCCGTGTAATGTGGTAACTGTTACCTAATGCTGTATGGTTAGGGTTGGCCGTGTAATGTGGTAACTGTTACCTAATGCTGTATGGTTAGGGTTGGCCGTGTAATGTGGTAACTGTTACCTAATGCTGTATGGTTAGGGCTGGCCGTGTAGTGTGGTAACTGTTACCTAATGCTGTATGGTTAGGGTTGGCCGTGTAATGTGGTAACTGTTACCTAATGCTGTATGGTTAGGGTTGGCCGTGTAATGTGGTAACTGTTACCTAATGCTGTATGGTTAGGGTTGGCCGTGTAATGTGGTAACTGTTACCTAATGCTGTATGGTTAGGGTTGGCCGTGTAATGTGGTAACTGTTACCTAATGCTGTATGGTTAGGGTTGGCCGTGTAGTGTGGTAACTGTTACCTAATGCTGTATGGTTAGGGTTGGCCGTGTAATGTGGTAACTGTTACCTAATGCTGTATGGTTAGGGTTGGCCGTGTAATGTGGTAACTGTTACCTAATGCTATATGGTTAGGGTTGGCCGTGTAATGTGGTAACTGTTACCTAATGCTGTATGGTTAGGGTTGGCCGTGTAATGTGGTAACTGTTACCTAATGCTGTATGGTTAGGGTTGGCCGTGTAATGTGGTAACTGTTACCTAATGCTGTATGGTTAGGGTTGGCCGTGTAATGTGGTAACTGTTACCTAATGCTGTATGGTTAGGGTTGGCCGTGTAATGTGGTAACTGTTACCTAATGCTGTATGGTTAGGGTTGGCCGTGTAATGTGGTAACTGTTACCTAATGCTGTATGGTTAGGGTTGGCCGTGTAATGTGGTAACTGTTACCTAATGCTGTATGGTTAGGGTTGGACAAGGGTTGCTGCAAGTAATGTGGTAACTGTTACCTAATGCTGTATGGTTAGGGTTGGCCGTGTAATGTGGTAACTGTTACCTAATGCTGTATGGTTAGGGTTGGCCGTGTAATGTGGTAACTGTTACCTAATGCTGTATGGTTAGGGTTGGCCGAGGGATGTGGTAACGGTTACCTAATGCTGTATGGTTAGGGTTGGTGCAAGTAATGTGGTAACTGTTACCTAATGTTGTATGGTTAGGGTTGGCCGAGGGCTGCTAGTAATGTGGTAACTGTTACCTAATGCTGTATGGTTAGGGCTGCTAGTAATGTGGTAACTGTTACCTAATGCTGTATGGTTAGGGCTGGCCGTAGGATGCTGCTAGTAATGTGGTAACCCAACCTGGACACTGGGAATAATTAGATTAACATTTAGCCCAGACTTATCTCACTCACTACATTTAAAAAACAACGGGTGAATCAATATTATGAACCCAGTAATTTTTTTAACGTGGAATTAAAAAAAAAATACTAGCTTACACGTCGTACGTCGCTGCGATCTCAAGGAAATTCAAGTAGACTTTTTTTGATAGCATTCACTTGCTACCAATGGTGTATTTTTAGATAATTGGTCCGTTGAGAGGAAAAAAAATACAACGGGCGCGAGGTTGATGTTTTTTCTCGTAAAACCTAAAGCTAATATTGTAAAGACAAACTTGGACTTTAAAAAATTAATTGGGTCTTATTGACATAGAATAATAATTAAAAATTCTATTAGCAAGCATAATTTATTAATAATGTATATGCATGGCTGATTTTATAAATGAATGTTTAAGCCGCATTTTTTGGGTCTAATCTTGTTCTGCTTTAGAAATCAGAAAAACGAATTAATAAAAGCCTCTATGAGAATCCTTCTGAATTAATTAAAAAGAGTTCAGTAATGATTTTGTTATCCAATATTGCTTGAAATCTTGCCAGTTAACGTCTTTTGGTGTGTTTGAAATGGGATGAAGGCGTCTTTAACATGATAAAATAATTATTGAATAAGGCACTTGTGGTGCTTATATTATGGCAGAGTTTTGTATGGTTTGTGTATTTTGTGTGGCTTGTCTGTATGGTATGATTTTGTGGGATGCTTGTCTGTATTATGGTGTTTGGAGGTGCTTGTAGTGATGTTTATATTAAGTGTGTGTTTTTATGGCTTGTGTATGATGTGTTTTGTGGGGCTTGTCAATATTATGGTGTTATCCGGCGCTTTTGTTTATTGATTTGCTGTGTTTGTGTTTTTTTTGTGTGTATTGGGGCATTGTATGTTAGCTATATATGGGTCTTGTATATAAGGCGGATTTATGATGATGTATGTATGTTTGGAATGTTTAAGGGTTTGTATATATAGCATTTTGCTGGGCTTATATGTATGGTACTTTTAGGGGCTTAAATGTATAGTATTTCTAGCTACTTACATGTATGTTATTTGCGGGGTTTTTATTTATATGTATTGTCTTTAAGGGGCTTATATGTATGATATTTGAAGGGGCTTATATGTATGGTATATGAAGGGGCTTACATGTATGGTATTTGAAGGGGCTTACATGCATGATATTTGTTGGGTTTTATTTATATGTATTGTCTTTGAAGGGACTTATGTGTATGGGTTTAAAGGGACTTATATGTATGGTATTTGCGGGGCTTTTATTTATATGGATGGTATGAAGGGACTTGTATTATGGCGGTGTTGTGCGAGGGTCACTATATGACCATCTGGTATTCTGACGCCGACCCGTGTCCCCACAGATCAAGACGTCAACTTTGACGCCATACTGGGAGAACTGTACGAGCTCGAGTCTCAGCTCAGCAGCACTCAGTCGGAGCTCTCCAGGTCTCTTGGAGGTTCGCACCCTCCCCCACCTGCGGCATTCCAAGACGGCAGCGATGGAAGTGAACACAATGGCAGTAGTGAGACTATCCACGTCTCTGAGCAGGTAAACATTTAATAATTTACTGATAAGTTACTCTCATAGTTAAACCTTGGCTAGATAGGGTTTTCTTTATTTAGATTGACCCCAACGGCATCACGTCACAGAGGACTACATTTTATTTCATGGTTATTGTCATAGTCATACCTTGACTAGATAGGGTTTTCTTTATTTAAAACGTATTCCTTGTAATGTAGCGTCAGTTCTTGTGTAGGTCTAAATTTAGTACCTCAAACATCGTAACCAGAGTTTCTCCCAGGCATCTTTTCAAGGGGAGGGGGAGTCACCGTCCCGTCCCCCCCCCCCCCCCCGAAGAAAGTCTACCCCCCCCGGACGAGATGGAATTTATTTAGTAAACATATACTTTTACCAGTGTCCGCCCCCCCCCCCCCCCCGGAGAAAAAAGTCTGGAAGAAACACTGATTGTAACTTTACATGAGTAAACTAACAAAATTGTGTGCAAGAAGAACTAGGTTGTAACTTATTCCTAGTTTAACAGACCAAATGTTCTGTAACACGTGGAACATTTAACATACTAAATGTTCTGTAACTTATTCCTACTATAAGAATACAATTTCTACAACAGGAAGAACTAGATCTTCTGGCAGCGGAGATCACCCGAGGCTTACACTACCACAAAGCAAATGGACATTACCACCACCACCACCATCACCACCAGCACCAGCAGCACCATCAGCAGACGGTGGGGGGAGAGGGGATGTGTGACAACGCTGAAACAGACTCGGCCTTCTCCGACAACGCCTCCCTCCCCTCCTCTGAGTCGTTCACCTCCATGGTGACCGTCTCCTCGTCAGCTGACACCACGTCATCCTCCTCAGGGGAGACCTGCAGCATGAACAACGCACACTGTGGAGTAAACCATGCTGAGGTGAGTACTTCAAGCTCGTTGTTCTGCTCACACTCAGCTGTCTTTACACCTGGCTCAGCTGTCTTTAACCTGGCTCCCACCCTCAGATCTCTTTACACCTGGCCCCACCCTCGGCTGTTTTTACACATGGCCCCACCCTCAGCTGTCTTTACACCTGGCCCCACCCTCAGCTGTCTTTACACCTGGCCCCACCCTTAGCTGTCTTTACACCTGACCCCACAATCAGCTGTCTTTACACCTGGCCCCCACCCTCAGCTGTCTTTACACCTGACCCCACCCTCAGCTGTCTTTACACCTGGCCCCACCCTTAGCTGTCTTTACACCTGACCCCACAATCAGCTGTCTTTACACCTGGCCCCCACCCTCAGCTGTCTTTACACCTGACCCCACCCTCAGCTGTCTTTACATCTGGCCCCACCCTCAGCTATCTTTACACCTGGCCCCACCCTCAGCTGTCTTTACATCTGGCCCCACCCTCAGCTGTCTTTACACCTGGCCCCACCCTCAGCTGTCTTTACATCTGGCCCCACCCTCAGCTATCTTTACACCTGGCCCCACCCTCAGCTGTCTTTACATCTGGCCCCACCCTCAGCTGTCTTTACACCTGGCCCCACCCTCAGCTGTCTTTACACCTGGCTCAGCTGTCTTTACACCTGGCCCTACACTCAGCTGTCTTTACACCTGCCCCCCCCCCCTCAGCTGTCTTTACACATGGCCCCACCCTCACCTGTCTTTACAGTCTTTACACAATGACCTCAGTAGTGCGTACACCTGACTTCACTCCCACTTACACAGACCACCCATGTCTTAACCAGGTGGTGATGAAAGATGACCGTGTCTCTGTCAACACGTGGTGGGAGGAGGGGGGGGGGGGGGGGCTGGAGTCAGCAGCTAATGCATGTATGTGCTGTAGTGTTACATCACTCAGCTGAGTTGAAATGGTCCTGGACGACCTCAAATCCTAGTCCAACAGCTCAGTCTCACGATACAATCAAATGGCTTTCTGTTTCAATTGTCATACTTCTACTATCGTCCCAATTGCAACAACAAAATGCTGTAATTGTTATCGAGCATTTTGAAGAAACAAAGAACAGTAAACTGTTGATATTGTGAATTGTGTTATCCTGTGAAACCTAGTTTAACCACCTATCAAGAAATGACGATTGTGCTTGTTTTATGACTGGACTGTCCCACCACGAATTTAATTACTATAAATAAGTTTTAAATCAACCAATCATATAACTTTCACTCACAAAGTAAAAAACGTGCATTCTTTTGATTGGTTGAATCATGCCTGCAAGCATCCATCCGTATCAACGTTAGCTGATTGTTGACATTGCTGGCAGCCAATCCACTCAGCCTGGGGCCACTAAGTCAACTATAATTAATGATTGTTTCTGACATGCAAATAGCAGCTGGTTCTTCTAGGCCGCTGAGCCTAGTCGCTGATGTAACACAATCTCCCTCCCCCACCCCCGGGCACGTTGCTCCTGGGGAATAATTCACTAGCAACATGCCCGACTCGGGGAAGTTGTAATTGTTCAGTCGTAGATTAGTTGATGTGGTGAATAATATATGATAAAGTTTCTGTGAGGAGTTGTTGATTTTGTGTTGAAGCTTAGGATAGCTTAGCCTACGGCGACACTACTGTACCGGACTCTAAAACCTGTATGCTGCCGTAATGACACCCCCCCCTCTCCCGCCCATCTGCTCGAGAGCCACAGTAAATAGTTTTGTTATGCGCTTGTTGCCTGATCCCTTCTGCTGAAACAATATGGTTGCGTGTTTGATTATCGCCCATGTTGTGAAATATTGAGCGGAAAGAGCGGTAACTGTTTGGTGTCTCATCCCTCATGATGAAACTTTTACGCAGTGTATCGGATTATCTCCCATGTTAAGTATCTTGGGAGAAAGGGAACTAATTGTTACATAATTTCACAACTAGGCCTACGGCTACCCCCACCTATTTTAAAGTAATCATGTGCGTAGTTCATTAGCACATACATTACACAACATTATGATTTGAATATGACAGATGTCAGCCTCCACATTTTATTGATCATGCATATATTACTTAGCAATATGCGTAACCGGGACACTTTGAACATAGTGAATTTGATCAAAGATCGTGTTAAACAACGATGCACATGTTAATACTACTTCTTGCCACATAAAGGCTTCAACAGTTATAAAAAAAAAAAAACAAAAAAAAAAAAAAAAAACAATAAACTACCATATCTCCAGTGTTATATTCCATATCAGCCAAATTAGTTGAATTAAAAAAAAAAGAATAATAATAAACCACCATCCCTACCCCCACATGACGTACAATGTGTGTACTATACCATTAGCATACCATCTGGTTGTGATAGATCATGTGACAGGAAGCACCAGCGTGTAGTATTTGGGCAGATAGCAGTGTTGGAGAGGTTACGGAAACGGCTTGGGTCGGCGGGAAAATCAGGTTATAAAATTCTAGGACACGTTTTCTGTGCAGTAAATCACATTTTTAAAGTTTTAGGGTGGGGGTGGGGAAGGAAAGTAAACAAATTACTCCCCCTGGAGAAAAAAAGAATCGACCGTCTGATTAAAAAAAAAAAGTTTTCGATTGATTATTCCTCTACCCCTATTTTCCAAATATATTTTTTCTACTTTAAAGCCCCCCCCCCCCCCCCCATTAGCTCATCACCTAAGTAACCACCTCTCAATGATGAATAGCATCAACTGATTCACCCACTCTAAATTTTCTATCTGCTGTATTTCCTTCCAAGATTCCCCCCTCCTTACATATTCTATCTGTGAAGTCTGGAAGGAAAAACTCTAAGATAGCGGCAAGTGACGCAAGTAGAGTAATTATAGACACATCGCCAGAGATTATCTACCCCTCACTGCCCCGGCTGTTGAGTGGCCAAAAAAAATCGATGTGACGATCAAACAGAGGGAAGTGTTTGATCTTTTAACGATACTTGCTTAAGTAATGAGTCAATCACTTTCTAGTGCTTTAGTATTAGTCGTAGTACAAGTGCTTAGTACCCCCCCCCCCCCAGGGTGATAACTTATCTAGAAAGATCTAGCCAGCAGAGATGAGAGTGGAGGAAGGACGTGACGATAAAGGCGGGCTGGTAGTTTATTGGACAAGGTCACTGTTTACGTCACGATGTGGCGGAGTTCATTCAGAGATACTCGGGTTAGACAGCCTATTGGATTCGTCGTGAGGGTCACGTGATTCTAGGGCTTCGGCTGTATAAAGGCACTATTAAGGTTTTAGCATTGTTAAAAGGTTTTGTTTTCTAACCCACGCTATTCAAATCACGCCACTCTTCTACTTATATATATATATATATATATATATATATATATATATATATATATATATATATATATATATACACACAGTGGCGTAGCGAGGTCGGGTGTCACCCGGTGCGGCACTTAATGGTGTCACCCCCCCCCCCCCCCAGAGGCATAGAGACCCTTCCCAGGGACAAACTTACAAATTTTCGATTTGCACCCCCCCTCAAACTTTCGATTTGCACCCCCCCTCGAGTTTTCGATTTGCACCCCCCCCCCCTCAAACTTTCGACTTGCACCCCCCCGTCGAGTTTTCGATTTGCACCCCCCCCTCCCCTCAAACTTTCGATTTGCACCCCCCCCCCCCCTCGAGTTTTTCTCTATATATTTTGCTATTTTTTGCCTTGGTGTCACCCCCCTAAATGGTGTCACCCGGTGCGGTCCGCCCCCCCCCTCGCTACGCCCCTGTATATATATTAGCATCCCCGGGTTGGGTTTAGGGTTATGTACCTATCATCAAGCCAGAGATATAATAACGATTGGGGGGGGGGGGGGATACCCACCTTTTGCCATCTACAGTTAACACGCAATTAAACGTGTACTTTGATAGTTTTTTTTTTTTTTTTTTTTTTTTACATCCAATGGTATCCGGTGCCAAATTGTTTTTATACATTCAGACTAGTTCCATCCTTTACGTGTGATTCTCTCATAATCTACACCCTTCCACCATAGCCAAATATCTGATAGATGTTACAGCTAGTTATCATTGCCATCAGCAATGCTAACAGCCTGTGTATTAAAGTTTTGGGTAATAAAACTACACACGGTGTGTTGCAGTGAAAGCACTAACAGTTAACCTCTTTCTAGTTGTAGATCATTCATCAACACCACTGGTACCACATGAACCCCTCTATAGTGCTACATCAACCCCTCTATGGTGCTACATCAACCCCTCTGTGGTGCTACATCAACCCCTCTGGTGCTACATCAAACCCCCTAGTATTACATCAACCCCTCTATGGTGCTACATCAACCCCTCTGTGGTGCTACATCAACCCCTCTGGTGCTACATCAAACCCCCTAGTATTACATCAACCCCTCTAGTACTACATCAGCCTCTCTAGTATACATACAGCCCCTAGTACTACATCAACCCCTCTAGTACTACATCAACCCCTCTAGTACTACATCAACCCCTCTAGTACTACATCAACCCCTCTAGTACTACATCAACCCCTCCAGTACTACACCAACCCCCCCCCCCCCTTGTTCTACATTTATCCCCCTAGTGCTACATACACCCCCCCCCCCCCCCCTAATACTACCATAAAATGGCCCTAACATAACTAGAGAAGGTTTGTGTAAGTCTGAAGACTTGAAGAAAATGTCACTCTGCTGGTGGGCCGCTAAGAAATCAATAGCTGACAGTTTCTTCTTTAGGCTCTTCCTTTACATGACCTTGCCATAGACATGTTACAACTCATCTCTCCTTGCTCTACAAACAACCACATTAAACCTACACAGGGCTGTTTTCTATATTCACTAATTAGGATTTTACAACTCTTTTTTCTACTTCCTCATTATTTTGTTGTATTTTTGATTACTTAAAAACTTTCCTTTGTGCAACACTTTTCAAAATATTATGTCTGTACTTTGTCAAGAAATGCTTCTCAATGCACTAGCATAAAACATTCCTTACTTTCTCAGAACTGTTTTAAGGCTTCAACCTATTTCTCATTTGTGTTTATGGTGTTCCTTAAAGACGAACTAAATGTACTACAGTACCTGATTGAATACCTAACCAGGCTGGAAAAGACACACTACACTAAATGTACTGTAGTACCTTACCAGGCTGCTAAAGATACACTAAACTAAATGTACTGTAGTACCTTACCAGGCTGATAAAGACACACTACACTAAATGCAGTGGCGTAGCGAGGTCGGGTGTCACCCGGTGCGGCACTTAATGGTGTCACCCCCCCCCCCCAGAGGCGTTGCGACACTTCCCGGGGACAAACTGTCAAGTTTTCGATTTACACCCCCCCCCCTCAAACTTTTGATTTGCACCCCCCCTCAAGTTTTCGATTTGCACCCCCCCCTCAGACTTTCAATTTGCACCCCCCCCCCCCTCAAGTTTTTCTCTATATATTTTGCTATTTTTTGCCTTGGTGTCACCCCCCTAAATGGTGTCACCCGGTGCGGTCCGCACCCCCCGCCCCCCCTCGCTACGCCCCTGACTAAATGTACTGTAGTACCTTACCAGGCTGATAAAGACACACTACACTAAATGCACTGTAGTACCTTACCAGGGTGATAAAGACACACTACACTAAATGTACTGTAGTACCTAACCAGGGTGATAAAGACACACTAAATGTATTGTAGTACCTAACCAGGCTGATAAAGACACACTACACTAAATGTACTGTAGTACCTAACCAGGCTGATAAAGACACACTACACTAAATGTACTGTAGTCCAACCAGCACAAAACATTATGTACAAGGAAATGAAAGCCAGAATGTTTTTGATTCTAGAGCAACTGTTCTGGCCACAAATGTCACACTGCCTGTTCCCTTTGTACCTGATTACTCCCTCATGCCTGTTAGCTGCTCTATAGATACCACTGGTTGGCCCAGTTCTACAGAGGCCACTCTGGTGCAAATGTTCCAAAGATGATCCCTATTTTTTTCTTTCTTTAAAAATTGTGTTTATTTGCTAAAAATAAAAATGCCAATTTTCCTGCAACTAAACTGCGCCTGCGTGTTATTTTAATGAAGTTCATATGCAGGCACTTTATGTATTTCCTGTCTGTTTCATTCTCCAGGAGGAGCAGATAGCCAGACTCAAGGCAGAAAAAATTCGCATAGCATTAGAGAAAATTAGAGAGGCAAAGATAAGGAAGGTAAGACTCTCATCTCTGCTCTAGCATTTTTCTTTCCCTCAGTGTGTGATAAGCATCCTTATTTTAACTCCATGCTGGAATGTTTATTTATAACTTTTTATGAATGGGTTGGCCTGGTGGTTTTCTCTTTGTAGCTTTTAAAAAATTCACACTTTTATTCAAACAGGCACATATTTTATCATAGTTATTTTTTTTTTTAAAAGTGGGCTCAAGTAAATTTGTGAATGAAATTAGTTTTAATTTAAATTAATTCAATTTAAGTATTAATCATATTTATATCAAATTAATTTTTTAATAAATTATTTTTAGCTTTAAAGCTTTTTGATAATGTTTTATAATGTGAGGTTGTATTTTTATTTAATGGAATAAAAGAAATAATTAAATAAAAAAAACCTTGCCACAGTTGTTTGTGAGGGCCTTTGCCAAAGATGGGAGCAGCAAGAGTATTCTGGTGGATGAGAAGATGAGCGTGTCACAGGTGTGTAGCCAGCTGGCAGACAAGAACCATGTCAGGCTCAACCACAAGCTGTCTGTGGTGGAACACATGCCAGAGCTCTTGATGGGTCAGTGTTTGTTGTTTGATGGGTCAGTCTAATGTTTGTTTGATGGGTCAGTTAGTGTTTGTTGTTTGATGGGTCAGTGTTTGTTGTTTGATGGGTCAGTGTTTGTTGTTTGATGGGTCAGTTAGTGTTTGTTGTTTGATGGGTCAGTTAGTGTTTGTTGTTTGATGGGTCAGTGTTTGTTGTTTGATGGGTCAGTTAGTGTTTGTTGTTTGATGGGTCAGTGTTTGTTGTTTGATGGGTCAGTTAGTGTTTGTTGTTTGATGGGTCAGTGTTTGTTGTTTGATGGGTCAGTTAGTGTTTGTTGTTTGATGGGTCAGTTAGTGTTTGTTGTTTGATGGGTCAGTGTTTGTTGTTTGATGGGTCAGTTAGTGTTTGTTGTTTGATGGGTCAGTGTTTGTTGTTTGATGGGTCAGTTAGTGTTTGTTGTTTGATGGGTCATTTAGTGTTTGTTGTTTGATGGGTTGGTCATTTTTTGTTGTTTGATGGGTCAGTTAGTGTTTGTTGTTTGATGGGTCAGTCAAATGATTGTTGTTTGATGGGTCAGTCAGTGTTTGTTGTTTGATGGGTCAGTTAGTGTTTGTTGTTTGATGGGTCAGTTAGTGTTTGTTGTTTGATGGGTCAGTTAGTGTTTGTTGTTTGATGGGTCAGTTAGTTTTTGATGTTTGATGGGTCAATCAAATGTTTGATGGGTCGGTTATTGTTTGTTGTTTGATCGGTCAGTTAGTGTTTGGTGTTTGATGGGTCGGTTAGTGTTTGTTGTTTGATGGGTCAGTTGAATATTTGTTGTTTGATGATACTGCTGTATTTATCTGACCACCAAATCATCAGAAAACCTGGATATTTTATTTATTCATTAACACCTTAATACTACCCAGTAGCTCAAAAATAATTTACATACATTTTAAGACCTTAATACTACCAAGTATTTTAAAAAACATGGATACTTTTTGTATTTATTGTTCACACCTCAATAACACAAACCCTGTTCATGTTTTTGGTATAATTAAACCTTGGTTCAACACTGTTTTTGGTATAATTAAACCCTGGTTCAACCGCTTGTGATTCCAGAGCGTATCCTTGAAGACCATGACTCACTGGTAGAAAACATGGTGATGTGGACCAAAGATTCTAAAAACAAAGTGATGTTTGAGGAGAGAATGGACAAATATGACTTGTTTAGGAATCCTGAGGTATAGTTTATCTAAGAGATCTTAAGATATAGTATTTCTAAGGGATCCTGTGATATAGTTTATCTAAGGGATCATGAGGCATATATTTTAATGGGATGTTGTTGTAGTTTATGTAAGGGATCTTGTGGTATAGTTTATCTGAATTTATTCTTGCCTGGATTTATTCAGTAAAGTAAAGTTTCCCTTTCAAACCTGACGGTCTATGGGGCAAGTGAAGTAGAGTTCACTTGTTTCTGTGACCTCTCAGCACTATGCCCAGCAGCCTTTACTTTCCCTAATGTGAATTAGTTACCCATCAGAGTTTGGTGGACTCAGGGACGGTCTACTGACTTGAACCCGGATTCGAACTCGAGACTTATGGGTTAGCAGTCCAGCTCTCTACCGCTAGACCACTCCATCCCAGATTTATTCAGTACATGGGAGTAAAGTTCTCTAGAACTTGATTAATTCCAAAGATACAAGTCTTTTAGAATTTTATTAATTTATCGATTGGAGGAAAGTTTGTTAAATTAAAAAAAAAAATTAATTTTTGTAATGCCTCATTCAGCACTGATTAATTGGATACAAATGTCTTAGTCAAGAAATATTTAAACACCCTACCACTTGTTGTCATTAATTTATTTTTTGTTCATTCCTCCAGAAATATTTGCTCAGTAGTACTGCAGCCAACAAACAAGGGCCGCTAGCACCAGCTCAAAAGGATAAACTGATACAAGTAATTTTTTTAAATACATTTTAAATGTTTTGAGTGATTTTGTCATTCAATACACTAGACCTTACAAGCTGGTGTCATCTCTATCTCATCAGTCTGATTGAAATGTTTTTAACAGGTATTTTAGACATCTGATTGGCAGTTTAACAACTTGTGTTTCCTAAATTTCCAGGAGTTTTTCTCCCCTGAAAGTGTCTGTGTGCCCACAATGGAGGGGGCGCTGTATCTCAAATCTGATGGCAAGAAGGCGTGGAAGAAATTTTTCTTTGTTCTCCGAGCTTCCGGCCTGTACTACAACCCTAAAGGGAAACCTAGTAAAGTAAGGATACTCAGTTTGACTTTTACATAGTTAAAATTATAATAGTTTTGTAGAATATTATATGTGGTAAAGAAAACTTGCATCAGATTTTTAAAAAATAAATTTTTAAAAAGTAGTAGCAATCAATTTACATTTTATGTGTTTAAGCCACCAGAACCCCCCCCCCCCCCCACCTCTATGCAAATGATTTAATACATGTTAAATACATGTTTTTTTTACATGTTAAACTATTCCAGAACCCCAAAGATTTGGTCTGTTTGGTTCAGTTTGAGTATGTTGAAGTGTACAGAGGAATTGGTTGGAAGAAAAAGTACCATGCTCCTACAGATTTTTGTTTTGCTCTCAAGGTAAAAGAATTAGCAAGTCAAATAGTTGTTGTAGTCAAATAATATATAAAGTCAAGTAGCTGTAGTATATATAAATAATATATGAATAAAGTAGTCACTGTATGAAGAACAGAATATGCTAATTTGAGGCAGGTTATACATTCCTGGAGTTGTTTTAATTAATGCCTAGAATTTCTTTTCAATTTTCTGATTTTGTCTGTTTATATTTCCAGCATCCGCAGATCCAGAAAAAGACATCCAAATACATCCGCTATTTCTGTGCTGAGACAGAGATGGCCTTGGACCAGTGGGTCATGGGGGTCAGAATTGTCAAGGTCAGTAGCTTATCTAGAACTTTGCTAAAATGAGAGTTCTAATAAGGGAGTGCAGATAGTTAAGATGTTTTTGGTGTGTGATTGTTTAGTAGTTTTTAAAAATTTAGTTCATATGCATCATACTATATGATGTAATTTGTATTGCTCCCTATCCACACCATTGAAAGTCGTGTCACTGAACCTTGCAGATTGGTAAACAGATGCTCCACAACTACGAGAGGCTGACCCATGAGATCTCCATGTGGGACCTGCGACAGCCAGAGCCAGGCGTCGTGGCCGCCGACGAGGCCATCTGTCAGATGTTAAATCACGCTGACCTCAGCGATAGCCGCATGTCCGTTCCAGAACCTGGTACCAGACACTCGGTCATCCAGGTCCATAACGCATCACATATACGTAACTCAACATCCGGTGTTAGTGACAACCCCCGGGATATGATTAGCATAGAGGTGTTGGCAATCCCACCTAGGAAGAGTTCAGAAGGAATAGATGGGAGGTAAGTGCTGTTTATTTAGTTAAAGTAGATGGTAAACAAATACGGTTACTGCTGGTAAAGTAGATGGTAAACAAATATGGTTACTGCTGGTAAAGTAGATGGTAAACAAATATAGTTACTGCTGATAAAGTAGATGGTAAACAAATACGGTTACTGCTGGTAAAGTAGATGGTAAACAAATACGGTTACTGCTGGTAGCTGGTTCAATGGAAACCAGGCTAATTTTGAAGTTGTAAACTTTATTACTGTAAACCTAATTATATGTTTAACTTCTGCTAGTTTAAACAATTTTTTTATTAGTTCTGCTAATTAAACATAATTCCACTTTTGAGTTAATTTGATCTAAAAATAATTTAATTTTTTATGTTAACTATAACTAAAATCTTTTTATTAATTAAAATATTTCTAGTTTTTTCTAAAGAGCCATAATTTTAATGAGTATTATTGAAACAATTTTAATTTTTTTTAAAACTTCACCAGGTCTCTAAGTGGCTCAGTTGGTAGCTCTTCTATAGGCTCGAGTGTGTCTGAGTCTAGCCACAAAACTCCAGTCAAGCGTGTGTCCTTCAGCGCCACCCACAGCATTATCAATGGCGACTCAGTGGAGCAGGTGGTCAAGCACAGAGACTCCATCATCAGCGCTTCGACTGACTCCAGCGAAGACTCCAACTCTAGCGGTGAGATCCGGCCAGGTGCCAGTTTCAGGGGAAAAATGAGACCAAGATTGCCTGTAACCACAGAGACAACCAGGCAACTTGCTGACATGTGTAACGTTTCAATGGATGAAAATGCTGAAGCAATTTACGCTGAGACGCACTACCGTGGCGGCTCCTCGGCTTTTGCCAGAACAGACAGACGCAGGGCCTCCATGCAGGAGCGCCGCGGGTCATGTGGGTCTGCCGGGTCTGACAACAGCCAGCGCAGCAGTCATGTGACACGTCACTCATCCATGGCGTCATCTATAAAACAGCATTCATTAGACAGCGGAGCAGAACAGCATACATCTCCTGTTGTTAAACAAAGCAGCCCTGTCCCTGTTGACAGTCCCTACCAGCACGTCAGGCGGAAAAGTGAGCCATCGGTCGCTGCAGTTATTGGAACAGTTGTGGAAGAATCTCCTCATTCAACCTATTCACCTGTATATTCCCCTCTCAGGGAGGAAAAGGGAGAGCTGGAATCTCTAGAACAGACTCACATGTACACAATAGACCAAGCTCATGCTGAACCAGTGTATAATCAAATTAAAAGTCCAGCGTCAGTTCGACAAACTAAAGTTTCCAACCCTGCTATCCCACCCCCAGCGCAGTTCAGGGAAGGGGAGAGCAACCATATACCATCATTCATTCATTCTAATCATGAGGTTACGCCATCACCACATGTACAGCCTATGCAAGTTCCACCCCCACCGCCACCTGGACCACCGGCCCCTATAGCAAACAATCAAAAGTTTCTAGAATCTCCCTACGGCACATGCCCAAGTCAACCCCCAAGCCAACCCACCGGTCAACCCCCCAGTCAACCGCATTTAAAATCATCCCCACCTGCCACCCTCCCCAAACCCCAGAGCAGCCAGTCACTCAATGGGTCAACCCTTCCATCAGGTCTTCCAAAACAAGCCCCGCCCCCACCAGCTCGTTTATCCAGTAACGAATCAACTTCCTCGTGTTCTGGACTTGACTCAGTCACCAGCTCCCCCATTCATGTTCCCATACCCCCACCCATGCCACCCCTCACGCCAAAGCTCCCACCCCCAACCTTACCCAAGTCGTCCCATGCTGCCACCACTGGAGCCAGTCTAATAGGGAACAACGCCAAACCTCCAACATCACCTGGTGTGTTCCACACTGAAGGGCTCTCTAGCAAGACCAATGGCCAGCCTGATGGAGCGAAGGTCAAAGGTCGACACAACAGCACCTCTAGTGATGAAATTACAGGCTGCCCGCCCCAGTCACCATCCCTGCCATTTTTATCCGAACTCTCCAAGAGGAACAACCAGGATCTGAATGGAGGAGATACTGTAGAGTTGAGAAATGGGCAGCCAACTTCCCTCGCTCAGCAGCATAGAAGATCAGCGTCAGCTGGTGGGGTTGTGGGGAGGAATGATAAGAAATGCGCCCCGCCACCCCCTCCAAAACGCAGTGAAAACACACGCTTATCCATGGATCTCATCCTTCAGCAGCATTCAGACAATAACGGAACATCCGTGCCACTTCATGATCCAATTTATGAAAATTTTGATGGCATTATGGATATTGACGAGCTCCCTCCACCACCCCCAGAACTTTTAATGGATTTACCCTTTGCTGAGAGTGAAAGCCAAAGAACTTGTGGTAAAAAGCCCAAACCACCCCCACCTCCCCCCAAAAGATCCAAAGATACCCAGTTGTCTAGTCACTAACTCGGTCCTACCAACATTTGTGTAGATTTTAACTCTCTTAAGTCTGTGCCAGGTGTGTTGATTTCAACTCTTTTAATTCTGTGCTATGGTGTGTAGATTTTTAACTCTCACAAGATTAAGTGGTAAGAGAAAAGATCCAAGGCATTTTAACCGGATTACTGATAAAAGTATTGGATACCTATCTGTACAATGGATATAAAATATGGATGTGTTTTCTTACATTTTTAATTTATTCTTGTTATTTTCTTACAATTACATGTACGACTATACCAGTAATGTTCACTCCATTATTTTCTTTTATCTGTTGTATTTATTATGTATTTATTCAAATCCCTTGAAGACTACTTTAGACAAGGCTTTCTTTTCATGTAAATGTGTTGTGTTGTTTTCATTTTCTGAATGACATTTTCTGTTTTGATTTACAACTTTCAACAACTATGTATAGCGTAAGAAAGATGTTTTAAAATACTGGTATATTGTGGATGAATTAAAAAATGAATATGGGACTAAACCGATTACCCAAGCAGCTTTAAAATTATATTGTTGGTTTAAAATAAATTCTAAATTATAATAAGTGTTTAAATCCCATTTCATAACCCATAACAGCATAGTTCATTAATACTTGCTGCTCATCAATTGTTGAACTATGTATATATTCCTATTGCCTATGATTGATGTGTATTGCAGTTTACTTTGTAAATTTAAGTATAAAAGATACATTTCTTTATCATCTTCTACCTTCAAGCACATGTTTAGGTTACAATGTAAATAAGCAATATAATCCAGTAATAATTGTCAGTGTAAATACCCATCACTGATAGTGAAATAAATTTTTAAATTTTGTTGAAGAAGCAGTGCATATTTTTTTATATGAAATGATTTGAGTTTTTTGTTTTCATCAACGGAAATGGTTTTACAGTTAAGAAAAAAAATAGACTATTAGTTGGCACATGCTGGTTTATCAAAAAACCTTTGTGTGTCCAGACAGGACTTGATGTGGTGGAGAAGTAAAACAGAACCAGAAGGGGTAAGGGAGTCCAGTTGATATCATAAATACAATTGAAAAGTGAAAAAGTGAATACATTTATACATTTTAAATTTTTTTTTGTTTTGGACTTATCTGATGGTGATTTTTTAATATGTAGAATAATCAGGAGGGGGGCAGTTGTATGAAAAAATCTTGTGAAAAAGCATAAAAACAAACAGAAAAGCCAATAATTGTTAAGTTTGTGAAGCTTACTTAGCAGAATTCTTAATGTTGCTGATTTGTTTTAAAATAAATTGAAAATTTAATACATATACAAAAAATATATTAAATGAGATCTTATAATTTATTTTTGCGGTGGTCATGTTTTTCTAGCTCTACCACTGCAAGTAATGTCTCTCAAAGCTTTGTAAAACATAGCTAGCATACACATTGTGTACTGAAACAAAAATAAAATAATCTTGCACAAGAAATCTAACTGTGGACCCGAAACTTATGTCCTAAAAAAAGGTCTGATTGATTTATGTATCTGCCAAATTTTTTCTAGTCATTGCATTTAATTGTTTTTTTTTAGTGAAGATGGTGCTATCATTTAACATTAACTTTGTATAAAAGTCCATTACTTTACTTTTAAACATATTTATTGCTCGAAGAATTTTTGTTGAATTATGGAAGAAACCTATCAGATCTCTAAATTTCATTCTGGATTTATGAATATGACAAGCTGATCACTTACTGATTTTGCGCTACATTTACCTTTTTCTTTTTGTTTATTTTAAAGATAATATGGTTATAATATAAATATTTTAGTAGAAATCTTTTTAACATGAAGAGTTGATCTTAAATGTTAACAGTAAAAAAAATTTCTTAACCACCCTCTCCTACCCATTGAGTACCCCAATTTGAACCATTTTAAATTGTAAATATATGTAGGCTGTTTGCAGTAATATTTAATAACATAGGATTTAGCATTTAATTGGTTTTATTGATTTTAATTACTGACACATTTTATCTCATCCATCAAACTTTTTTTTAATGCAGTGTGCATGCTGAACAGTTCATTTTATATTTGTACTAGTAATATTTGTCTTTTATTTCCTTGAAACAGTTATATGTAGAGTAGTTTCCCTGTTTATCAAATACTGATTGCTAAACCAAAATTTCTATTGTTTAAACAGCTAAACATGGCTTCTTACAGCACAATTGATCAGTCCCCTTTTTAAAATACCAGAGTTGGTTTTTATTTATTATAACTGTCCCCCTCCCCTTATTAATATACTTTGAGATTTATTGTACATAGTATACGATGCCTCATCTATTGCTTTTGTGATACTGTCTGTATGACTTTTATGTCTTACCTTTAGCATTTGTTTATTTTTAATGTCATATTTCTCAAATTTCAATCATGAAAAGTATGTACACCTGCAACATCGTTCTTATTAATCAGATAAATTTGTTTGAACTATGTTGTTGAGCTGTAGCTTTAAAAAAATTACTTCAACATTTTAATTAAATGTTGCAGAATTTGGAATCATAGAAAATTCTGTTAGAGATTTTAAATTCAAATAAAAAGCATTTAATGGTTAAAATTAATTTTAAGATTATCAATGAAAATGTGTACAAACAATATTTTACTCTATATTTTCAAAGTGTATGTTTTGCAGTTTGCTATCCATACATTTTTCTGTGTTATTTGGTAAAATAGAAAAAAAAACTCAGCATAGTTGTAGTTACTAGAAAAATATGTATAATAATGTAAACAATTTTTTGGTTCATTTGAAATGTGCACATATCTTATTTTCTACATGCTAAGTTTTCTTTTATACCAGATATTTTGCATTAAATTCTTGCCAAAATGCATTTCATCTATTTCTTTATATTACTGCTGTTATTTCAGTAAATACAGCTATCAAATCATTTTTAGATAATTTTTACAAATGTTTTTTCTCCATCAGTGCAATATATATTTTAAATGTAAGTATCCAATTAAAGTAGTTTTGCAAAAGTATTGCATTTGTACCAAAGTTAAACAAAAAAGAAATTCACATTTCTGTCATTCATTGTCATCATCCATGATTTATCTGAATAAAATGTGACCACTGGTGATTTTAAAATTTGGTTGAAAGCTTTGTGTGGACTGATTTAAGTGAATTATCCTTACACAACACCAAAATATGTATTCCATTTCAAAAACCTTGAAGTAAATGATAAATTCCTACTTTTTTTTTTTTAAAAGAGCTGTTTGATTCCTTTTACATTTCAAAAGATCTTTTTATAATCATCAATGAAATAGTAGAATGAATTGTGTACCATCAATCTGTGTCCATCTAAATGGTCGCTCCATCATGTATTTTTAGTGTTTGTTACATTTTATACTATGGTATGTAGACACTTAGAGCCAACTCTATGTGATCAAATGTTCAATATAAATAAAATATAAATATGGAATTCTCAAAATAAGATTCTGTTCTAATTTGTTCAATCAGTATTAGACATTAAATAAGTAATATAGTCTGAAAGATATTTATAAAATATTTTAAATCAGGCTGTAAAATCATTTTCATGTTATTTTTTTATTATGCAGCATCTTGGATTTTTCTAAAGTATAAGACAGAAATAAGTTAGCTAAATATCTAACAGACAAAAAAAAAATGAAAGCAGTTCAATTTCTTTTAATTTTAATACAGGAGAATCATCAATATTAACAAGGTCACGGTCACCTTAAATATTAACAATCAAGATCTACATAATATCTACAATGTAAAAAGAATCTCATCAACCATTGCTTTAGAAAACATTTATACACCCAGGATCCAAGCCCTCTGAAACATACAAACAACTCAAACTACGGTTCCAAATCTTTTGCTAACTTGTAAACATGATATCATGCGTATCACACATAAATTTAAAACCAACTGAAAACAGAACATAAAATCACGATTGCACCTGGATGTTCATGGAACTCGAAATAGCCATAAATAAACTTCACATTTCTAAATAGGTGAGGAAACAGTTTTTGAATAATTTAAAATTTGGTAGTTTGTTGTTTGTCCGCGTCATTTAAAGGGGATTTAGAGTTAATAAAACATTTAACAAAATAATTTTGGATTTTTATAGATTGATGACATATTAGAAACAGATTATTCTAGTAATAAAAGCATTATGAAATGCTTGTTGATGTAGTAGTTAAGATAAACCTTATGTTAAGAAAAATTTTTTAAATGGATTCAAGTGTAAACTTTTAGTGAGACATTTTTGACATGAATAAGTTAAATTTCTGGCTAACAAGTAACAATCAGAATTTCTGGCAGAAGGAGAAGCAACTAAGACTGTAGAGATTTTTAAGGGAAACAAGGAAGATCTAATATAGAAGTAGATAGGACATTTAAAAAATTACAAAACTTGGACTAGTGAACATCATGCAATTAGCTCAACATTTTAGGTGATGTAATTTAGCTTTTTGTTGACATATCAGCTGTAAAGAAACCATTTTATCATTTTGTAATTTTCATCTTATGTATTTAATGCTAACATAAAAGAGTGAATCACAAATATTTCTTTTAGTAAGCAAATAATAGAGCAAGTTATTTAATTTTAAATAATAAAATGTAATTGAATCTACTGTAGTTGAAACACAAAATTAGAAAAGAACCCAAGTTAAAAATTAGGCACTTTTAGCACAAATGTAATTTTGTGTCCCTTTATTGGAAGGCTTTATTTAAGTACCTTATATATTATTCTGACCAAGAGATATTTTAAAAAACAATATAGGTATTTACAACAAAATTTGCCTACCATTATAGCTTAAGGTTTTTAAAAGTTTTTTAAACAAAAGATAATCCCAACACATACTTCAAATGTCAAACATAAACTTGAACAACATTACTTGAAATAACTCATTGAAATGACTGGCAAGTAAAGAATGACTGGATCATAAAAATACTTTGTGTTGAACAAAAGAAAAATCTTATAATCTGGTTAATGAAGATGACAGCAACAACTATTATTTAACTGGAAAATGGCACATTGCAACTAAATGAAATAAAACAAGTTTACATTACAAAAACAACCTGAAATGTTTAAAATATTTAAACATTTAGGCAGGCAGTCAAAAACTTGACATTTTTAATTTAGTGGAAGATCAAATTGACTTTTTTATGAATTGTAATTTTAATAGAAACCATAAAAAATGACATTCTTGTATAAATGACTAAGTTTAATTCTGCAAATGTAAAGTGACATTAAGCTAGTAAAATGTATTTAAGTATTAAAGCTGGTAGACTACCAGCATGAATAACATCCTCTCTTCAGAACCAGTTAGAGACAAGCATTAGTTTTACATCTTCACTATTAATTGCTAGACGTTAACATTATTCTGTCTTATATTTATTTTTGTGCCTTAAATCAAAACAAATACAACAATGTATTATTACAAGTAGTTGCAGCAGGTAATAAATTATGATGGCAACCCGTAACGTTTTACCAAGACTGTTTAGAATTACAAATACAATAATTAGGCTCTTTAAGAAATAACGAGTTTCATCATGTTCATTAGAACTCAAGTCCTTTTTAAATTACCTACGAGTTCTATAATATCTAATTTTAACCCAAACTACTTCAATGTTAAATAACTTTTTAATTAATAATTGTAACGTAACAAGAAACATAACATGAATAAGAAAACTTTAATGTGTTGTATCTATGTAAATGGAAAGGTTTTAGTGAAAAATGACCATTGTTTTTTCTTTCAAATTCATGGGGTTATACATTACAGGGCATAAATGCTTTTAAAAACTTAGGTTAACATTCTAAAGAAATTCAACTAATCAGTTAAAAATTGTCATTGAAAATTTTACATCCAAACATTACCCTTGAATCAGATGGCCAACAGTACATTTTAGCACATTCTTACACATTCATGAGTTATTCTTTGCTGATAGCTTTATCATATGTGTGCATATTTTATTAAGCCAATAAAAACAAAGGAACATACTGCATTGTATAGCAAGATAAGCATCAAACATTGAAACAAAATGTACCTAAGCAATATAACTATATTCATCTGGGGTTCCTGTTACTCGTTCAAGATATGCTTTTTCTATGAGACTTTCAATGCTTTTCTTTATCATGCTTATGCTTGGGTTAAACCGGCTCCGAGCTTGACTTATTACCTAGATTATAGAAGAGTGGATAAATAATGGCAAGTAACAATTTAATCTCTTAACAATGCTACAATTTGTATACATTCACCCTGCTTAATGTTTAAAAAATGATTAAGTCCAGGCCATACCTCGTGAATTAAGTTGTTGTGTTTGATAGTTTTTCTAGCTTTCATGATCCTAACAATTGCTGCCTGCAGATACAGTTTTCTATCTTCATCTACAGCTGAATGTGTACTTTCTACTTCCTGCAACAATAATACATACTAGAGTCACAAGTAACTTGAAAATAAACGTCAAAAAACTATTATCTAATGAACTCACACAACATAAAACTAATAATTTTTTTAAAACTAGTTGTAGATACCAGTAGAAAATAATGAATAAGTGCAATCAGCATGCATAACTTGGAGCGTTACTTGTTTCTGTGACACACCATCACAGTTCCCACCTAATTGTCTCAAGTAGAACAGACACTGTTCAGTGTGAATTCACTGATATCATTTCGGACTAGCAAGAAAAATTAAAGTTGTATCACATCAACTTACCTGTGGTGTCTCTTTCTGAATTGCTGCCATAATTTTAAACTTTGTTCGCTTGTTGTTGTATGACAAATTTAATACAAGCATTGAACTCTCAGTCACAATATTCTAAAATAGAATATAAGAAAAAAATATTTTCAGATCTGAAACACTAAAAGATGGATTTAAAATTGCAGTAATACACTTCCATTGGTAATAATGCTAGATATTGATTACAATTAAAAAACATGGAAATGAAACATGAGCTTTAGAGCAGCTGTTTTAAAGAGCCACCAAACAAGCTGTGCTTGAATCTGTAGGACGTCTTGAGTCCACCCAGCTTTAATGGGTACCTGACTCAGGTTACGGAAACTAAGGGTTTGGCATAGTGCTGACTATACTATCCCCCTGTATGCTGAGGTTATTGAAACATGAACTCTGCCCAAAGTGCCTTGGGCACAAATGCGAAAAGATGATGATGATGATGTAACAAAATATGTATCAAACACAAAAGAAGTTGACTAAGAAAATAACAGCTTTTATTAAGGAAACAAATGTAAATAAAACTGCTCACATCCTGGGTGTTGAGAATCTTTGTGTCCACCAAAGTCTGTAACTGTTTCACAAGTTCTTTCTCTGGCAAATCAGTGCTAGTCCGAATGTCGGAGAAAGGAAGGGAATCTGCATTTTCAAACGGGAGCAGTGTAGCCATCTGGAATGTGCTCATGGTCACTATATATGACTTTTTTAAATAACACAGTTTCAACTCAACTGAAAAATAAAACAAGAGAAGATTACTTTTAAATAGAAAAATCTAATTGTATTAGTTTCCAATTTAAATTTGTGTGTTAAAACTTGTTTACTTACATATAATACTTAAGGTTATAATGACAAAATTCTGTAAAGTTTTACATACCATTGCTTAAGGCTTGCATCCATGTTAACTTTCTACCATTGAATTTTTTATTGTAAAATGACTCAAACTAAAAACAGAAAAAAATATTCCAAAATATAAAATAAATCATCTAAATGTAAACTAGTAAATCAGTTATACAGTGGAATTAATCATAGAAAAAACAATCTAGTATAGATATGGCAATGCATATTCCAGACAAATCAATGAATAATGTATAAAAAAGAATACAGAGTTTGTGTTGAACTCACCAAGCGTACACTTTTTTCTAACTGTTGTGGTATGTGGAAAGATAAATTAGTCTGTGGTGTGATAGGCCAAGCTCCTGCCTAATAAAAGTAAGAAAATAAATGAGAATAAACATTAAATGCTAAAGCAATAGATTCATGTTGTTTAGTCTGGCAACAAATGCATACATTCTTACAAATAAAAAAGGTGAGACACAAAGAAGGTCAAGATAGATGAGATCTGACATGTAATGTCTGAACATGTGGAACTACATGTTAATTGCTTCTCTTTCATTTAATTACAATTATTTTGTTGGGTTGGGATGAGCTACAACTAAAAAAAATATTCACCTGAAACACTAAAATACTGAAGTTAACTCCTAATGTGGTGTTGAGATCTTTTAAATAAGCATTGAAATTATTCACATGATCTGTGCTAACACTGACATCTGTGAACATTCTGTGAAGTTTGTTGGTGAATTCATAGCCACAAGCTTGCTGGAAAAGTATGAGTACATCTTTATTATATAGCACTAAATAGAAAACTATCTTATCATACACAACTTGTTAAACTCAGAACTTATAAGCTTGCTAGATTCTATGTGAAATTGCATCTATAAAGTTTAAAATAAGAAAACAAATTAATTAATACACTCGTTTTTTTAATAGTAAATTCAAAGCCCCAAGCTTGCAAGCAATTCAGCGTATAGCACAAATTACAAAAAAATTACTTCCTTTTACAACTTTTAATACAGTAAAAAAAAGAGACAAAGGGTAAAGAATGAGATTAAAAACTTGCCTTTAACCTTGTGATCATACTCTCTTCTGCATCCATGCTGGCTGACTGGCTATATATAAGACGCTTGGCCAACATACGAGAATAAAACTGGTAAAAAAAAAAGGTAAAAACAATGTTATACTTGTATAAAATTGTTGAAAATAAATTCAAAATATTTGAATAAGTTAAAATGAGCTCACCCTTTGAAAGACATCTTTATCATCCAAATACTTAAATATAATAATGCTGCCTGACAACTTCTCATCAAGCTCAACATCACCAACACCTTTTGTGCTTTTTTTGAGCAAATTGTCACAGTATTTGGCTAGCTGTTAAAGTAAAAGAATAAAAGATAACTGTATCAGACCATCTAAAAAATAAATGTGCACCTACTCATTCATAATCACTGCTACATGTGGTAAATTAAGCTGAATATTAAGAAACATAGCTTAAGATGGTCTAAACATTGTACCTACCAATTCAGGAGATCTGTTTGGTGCTCGTGAAGTCTGAGGTTTATGGTTAATCACAGCAGAACATGCCTGGGGTAAAATTAAGTTACTTTTGAACTTAAGTAAAAAATGCTTGGCAAATCTGTATCTTAACTGACCTTTAGTTACTACAAGCAATAAAAATGCCCCCCCCCCCCCTTCATAAAGTCAGGTAAAGTAAAATTAGACACTAGCCACTATTTAGTACAGCTAAACTTATGAGTTCTAAACAACTAGCATATGCTTCTTTCTAGCCCCTCAGGTTGAATCATATTTAATGTAAGAGTTCTGAAAAAGTAATGTGCTATTCAGATTTAACATGAAAGATGTAGGCATGCTTACTTTATCCAAGGCACCGGTAAAAGCTTGATCATTATTAAAGACATCATTAATAAGCTCTCGAAATTTGTGGTAAACTTTCAACATGGCTTCGACAAACTGAAAAACACATTTTGAGTTAGTCACACATAAGAGGACGTGTGATTAAACTTTAATTAATTTTGAACTTAAATTAAACACAAATAGATAGTGGCTAACAGAAAGAAATAGATTTAATACAAAAAATTAGAAAGAAAAAATGTATAGAATAACAGAATAATGATATTTAAAATAAACAATTGTCGGGATAAATTTTACACTTACAGATGGATCATTTTTAAGACTGAGGACTGACTGCATACCCTGCTGTTTAATGTGGCTTTCTACTTCCCGAACTAACACTTCAAGACCCTTGCTGATTGGTTTTAGTAATTTATACATATTTGTAAGATCTAGTAAAGGAAAATTTCAACACATGAACTTACAAAATAATATTTTGTGTAATATGCATAGTTTATGGCTTTTAAAAATAAGTAGAAATAAATTTTAAAAACTAATCACAACAAGAAAATGAAATGAAGTTGGTAGATTTTTTTACAAGATAAATTGAAAGAGTTCAATAATAAAAACAAACAAACCTTTTCTCCTTTCTTGCTCAACCATATCTTTACTCTCACCATGCAAAAATTCTATTATATCTGCCACCATTCTAGACTGGACCTCATGTGTAACTTTTACGTAAGATGTACTATGTAAAAACTTTCTACTCCGAAAATTTTCATTGTCTAACCTTTGTATGACCTAAGAAAAAAAAAAAGCCACACTGAGTATTAAATAACACAAAATTTATCTAATTTAAATAGATGTACAGTAGCAGATGTACTTTACAGCTGAATATAATTTAAAAAATAGCTTTACTAACTTTATCTAAATATTCTGAACATGTGCAGTCTGCCTTCAATCGAGCAGCCTCATGGCGATAAAATTCACCAGTCTCTTTCAAAAACTGGGTTTCAAATATTTCTTGATATAACTGCAAAAAAATAACAATGTCATGTTACACACACTACAGAGAGATACGAGGACAATATTTCATGCACATGGAGTAAGATGGCACTTACTTCTAGTGGAGTTTTTTTCTTGTACTCCGAAACATCAACAAAGGAAGTAACAACACTATGAATAACTGTTTGGTTAACACTATAACCATTCCTGTCTCTGAAATCATAAAGAACTCATAGAAACATGAATAATTTATACAGCTAATATAGTACAAGTTAAAGTAGTCAAATGTAAAAACTATTGAACATGAGTTTGCTGCCACTTTTAATTCTAATTATTTGTTAAAACAAAACTGACTTGGCAATCTCTTGCAGTATCAGGACAACCAGCTTGTTCTTGATAGGATCAATCATCAAATTTTTCCATGTGTCTTTGGCAAGCTAAACAGTCAAGATTTAGATTTATATATTCGACAATAAATAACATGTAAGAAATTAAAATTAAACATCTTTTAAAGAATGCTCAAATTGAAATTATTATTTTGATAGCATAGAAAGTGACAGTAATATGTACCTCTCCTATTTCTAGCAAACAATCAGCATCAACAGGAAAAACTCCATAATTAACATCAGCATCAGAATACTTTTGTTTTTTTATGTAAGTATTGTTTAGGTACCTGCAAAGTAAATACAAAATAATAACACGCTTGATTTTCTGTTAAAAAAAAACCTATAAACAAAAAGATAAACTGTACAGGGTCAAAATTTAATAACATCTATTTATATGTGTAAAAAGTTGTTTTAAAATGTAAGAATTAAAAACAATAAAAAATATTAAACAATTGCTAAAGAAAGATATTGAACAGTAAAATGAAGTGAAAAAAAAACAAGAAACCATTAAGACTTCTTCTTCTTCGTTCTTAATTTTTAGTGTTGGGAGGGATCGAGCCTTATCAGCCAGAGGGTTTGAACTCGAGACTTTTTTCGAATTTATCAACCATGAGCTTTGCCGACTCGACCATACTTCCATCACAATTAAGGATTACGTGTCAACTGGTTATGCGCCATTAAGACATGAATAAAACCCAACACACCCATATAACTGATTTAAATATCCTGCACCAGTGTTAAATCTTTCCCAGTTTTTATGGTATGTTTCAAGCATATGATCATCACGAGCATCACAAATTTCCTGGGGAATAAAAATAAATCAATGATATAATGTTTACTACTTATAAGCAGAGTCAAGTCACCTATAATGGATCATGACCATAAAATCATTTGTAAAAAAGATATTACAACCAGTAATTTTAACAGAAATTATAAACAGAGAAATGGAATTACTGCATGAAGATTCCGGACATGTTCCTCAAGAAATTCTTTTGTGCTTTGATACAAGTTGTCTCCATGAGGCTCAGGAAGGGCGGTGCACAGTTTATATACATCAGTATCAAGTTAAGTGTAACTCATGTTAAATTTGATCTAATTCTAATTAGTAACTAGCACAATAAAATAGAGGACTAAACAAATTATAATTTAATACTTTAAAAATGTGTCAAGGATATGAAAACCTATCATTCCATGTAACTCGCTGTACAGATCCACATGTTATAACACCTTCCAAAGTTTCTTTCAACAGTTTCCAAGTTGCATTAAAATCAACTCTTCTGGGTTTCAGAGACATCTAGAAATTTAAAAAAAAATGTTAAACCTGTGCCTTTATTCAATGTTGCACTACGTTTGTAAGATGAGAAGGTTAGTTTAAGTTTAATGATAATGACTAGGGCAGGGGTTCCCAACCCCGTGCCCGCGTGCGCCATGGCGCCCGCCGAACAATTCGTATGTGCCCGCCTCTCACTATTCGACAGAGACAGAAATTTTTCCATAAACATTATTGAAAGGTTGAAGGGGGGGGGGGGGGGGGGTGCAAATCAAAAATTTGAGGGGGGTGCAAATCGAAAATTTGAGGGGGGGGGTGTGCAAATCGAAAGTTTTGTCCCTGGGTGACAGGAAGGGTCGCTACGCCTCTGGAAGGAGTTTGTCGATTTAAAAAGAAGTGGTGCCCGCCACCCTACCGATATTTTAGAATGTGCTCTAGAGTAAAAAAAGGTTGGGAACCCCTGGACTAGGGAATGATATATTTAGTGCCGGGTATGTTAAATTAACTTAAATAACAAGAATACAAGATGAAGATCCTATGGGGTCTACAAAAAATGGCTTGATACTATTGTTAGTCTATCCCCCCCCCCCCCCCCCAGTATTTGAGTGTTTGTTGATAAAATCTAGAGATCTAGATACCTTACTGAATCGGGAAAACAAAATTCTAACTAGATCTAGATCTAGAATCTAGTCTAACCTAACGGTAACTGAGTAACACAACAGTGAACAATATCTAACTTTACTTTGGGAACATTTTATTTTTTTATTTTTAGAAACTTTTACTTGGAAAATCCACATTTAATTTTCTCTAAAATCTAGAAAATAGAAAGTCTACAACTTCTAAAACTAAAAAAAAACTAAACAACTTTGGAGACTTACCTCTTTTATGCATGTATTAGATCTATATAAAGTCGATCTATATCTAGAACCTTCTTTAAAATCGGTATTATTGAGAGGAAAATATTATTACATTAAAACCCATCCATAAATAGAATACGGTTGTTTCTCTTATGAAGTTTATCAATATCCAATCCTGTTGCAAATGATAGCAGCCATATTGGGTAAATCTCGCGTGAACCTCGGTTTGGTCTATATTTAGCGTCACTTCCACCTTGGAAACCACGGCGTGAAAACCGTGAGCTACTTTTGGTTAATCTTCCAGAATAGGTTTTATCCAGTTAGCAAGATAAATAAGACTTTTTTGTTACTTTGTTTGCTGCTAACATTCATTACAGTTCTTATTTTAAGTAGTTAAACTGCTCCATTACTGCCTGTGATTTTCATCTACACATTTATTAAGCCCTTTACTTCGTTAAACTTTTTTACAGCAACTTAAAAATAAATAAAAAAACAAAAGAGAAAGTACAAAAAAAAAATAGATAATCTAGATCTAGATCTAGGATCTATTTTATTAACTATCAATAGAGCTAGACTAGATAGATAGATCTAGAAAATCTAAGTCTAGATCTATGGGCTATCTAGATTAGATTCTAGATCTAAGCCTAACAAATAGTAAATTATATGAAATATTAGTATTCTTAATTCTAGGCATTTAGCCTAAAAATTATTAAAATTAAAATTTGTAGGCCTACATTAAAAATCATTAGATATGCCTACAGATTTTTTGGGGAAATTTTAACCAGTGTCCAATAATAGAATCCTCTTAAAAAAGGGGTGTTAGGTTTCTGGTACTTAACTAAATAATGTCAATGCTAACAGTACAGTAACCTCTCAACCCTATGGCTATGCCTGCCTAACCCTAATCTCTAACCATAAAATTAGTTGAGATTACAATACTACTAACAAACTAATACACCTATTTTTGGAAAAGTCTATTATTGGACATCGATATCCTCAATCATCCCCTCAGGTTTAGTTTTATGGTCAGCAATTTCAAATTAGAATTAATTATTAATGCTCTGGCAGGACATGGGGAAGGGTTAGCATTTACATTAGCAAGTCATAATTTTATTTAGTTTACTACAATTAATTTAACATTCTTATCTTAAGAAGCTTAATTATTATGGCATTATCAGACACTGATATAACCCATTGTCCTACACCAAGTTCAGCTTAAACTTGATTGAATAATGAAAAAAAAAACAATTTTTTATTAGGTAAAATGTCAAATATTCACCTAGAAGGTCAGACTTCAAAAAAGTATGACATTCCCCTTTCTCATCTGGATTATGCTTATATTGAAAAATGCACTGATGTGAAGGAGTTGGAAAAGATTATCAGGATACTAAGGTATGAAGGAGTAGTAATTATTAATTCTAATTGTAATGTTTATTACTAATATAGTGAGTGATACACCACTCACAATGAGATGTTTTAAATAGATTCTTGTGTTTTACAGATCAGGAGATGAAGGAAAGTATCCAGAACTTGAAAAATGTGCTGAAAAACGACTGCTCACACTTAATCCTAAAAGGCACGTTCTTTTAATGGTTATTAGACATGACTGAAATCTTGTTATAAAGATTATTAGTGTAATTTAAAATGTTATTTTCAACAGCCGTGTTTTGAGACAGGAAGGTCCAATCTTACGACCAGGGGACCTCAGCAGTGGAGATTGGAAACAAATTGAGGATGACTTAAAGGTGACTATTTAAAAATTACTCTGTCACTTACAATTGTATTACCATTGTTAGATTTTTTTTTTCAAATGCAGAGAATTTTGAAATTAAAGTGATGTGAAAACTGAAATAATCATCTGAGTTTATATACTGTCCATAATATCTATAAAAATAGTTTCGCTGTCTGACAAGAACGCTCTGTCTGACAAGAACGCTCTGTCTGACAAGAACGCTCTAGAGAAAACACAAGCAAAATAAAAACATGCACAGTAATTCGAAAAACGAAATATGACGTCGACACATTTAGCGTAGAGTAGAACATAATCTCAAACCAGAGAGTGCACACAGTAATATGACGTCATTGATTATCGCGTAAACATTGAAAAAAAGGAAATGTTGTCTAATCTAAATGGTTTGCGTGAAGAGTTTCTTGCATACAATTCTTCGGTTAGGGGCGAAGCCCCACCCCCCGCGTAAGAACGTCTGAGCCCCCCCCCCCCTCCCCAACTCAAAAGAAATTTCCTCATCGATACTCTATAATAAAATTACCGCCTAATTAATGTGTCTAATCTAAAAAGTGGGTTTCTTGCAATTTCTTTAATGCAATTCTTCTGGTAGTGGCTAAGCGCGACACCAGTGTTTCTTTCAGACTTTTTCCTCCCCGGAGAGGGGTGGGGGTAATTGAAATTTTCGGGGGCGGGGGTAGAATTTTCGGGGAGGGGGGCGGACACTGGAAAAAGTATATAATTATATTTCGTTGAATGGGACGGTAGACATGTTTTTTTTGGGAGTGGGGGGGGGGGTGGTGGGGGGGGGGGGATGGGGGGGGTGTGTGGGGGGGGGGGGTGGGGTGGTTTCCTCATCGATACTCTATAATAAAATTACCGCCTAATTAATGTGTCTAATCTAAAAAGTGGTTTTCTCGCAATTTCTTTAATGCAATTCTTCGCGTAGTGGCTAAGCGCAACACCAGTGTTTCTTTCAGACTTTTTCCTCCCCGGAGAGGGGTGGGGGGTACTTGAAATTTTCGGGGGCGGGGGTAGAATTTTCGGGGAGGGGGCGGACACTGGAAAAAGTATATAATTATATTTCGTTGAATGGGACGGTAGACATGTTTTTTTGGGGGGTGGGGGTGGGGCTGGGGTGGGGTGGGGGTGGGGTGTTAGGGGTGGGTGGGGGGTGGGGTTGGGGGTTGGGGGTAGGTGTGTGTGGGGGATGCGTTGGTTTTAGTTTAGAGAAAAGAGACAGCACTATCAACCTAGCGCCCGGTGTATCCTCCTCAACGGGCCATTTTTCTCGTTCTAAATGTTTTCCAGAATTGGACCAACAGCATGAGTGACAAAGATCTAAAGAAAACAGTAAAGACTGCTAAAGACAATGAAAAAGATATTGAAGTGGATGAAAACCTTCCTCCTGTTCGCTCAAATAATGTCATTCTTGAAGGGAAGAAAGTATGTTGTTTCGGGTTTACTATCTTATAACTTTATATAGCCACATTCTACTATTTTATATAATTTATAAATAGTACAAAATATATAAATTATTTTTTGTCAAGTTGCTGAAATCGTTTCAACTTTATTTTATTGTAGCAAAAAAAAATCTCTGAAGATAAAACAAAAAAGAAAGTTTTACCAAGGGATCCCAAAGAATGGGACAAGTATGTATTTCTTTGTATCACGCAATTTATTTTGGTTGCAGTTTTTGACGGGACGGAGGGTCTTAAATTAAAGTACAATGAATTTTTAAAAACTTGACATTCAGTAAATGGATGGGTCCAATATTTCTAACTTTTGTGTGCAAAATCCATATACAGCAATGTTTTAAATACTCCTACTTAGACAATATGATATGCGGCACTACTAAAGATTGTACAGGATCAAATGTCTTGAAAAGAAATAAAAGTATCATTGTTTAAAAATATTTTGATGTGCAATGAGTTTTAGGGTTGTATAAATTTCATAATTTGGTTTCAGAGTTGGGAAAATTTGAATTTATTTAAAAAATAATGGCACTCCTGTATAAGAAACATTAGCTTCTAACAAGCAAAACTAATGTAGTAGATTTTATTTTAATACATATTTTAAAAAATATCTACATTAACATCACAAACAAAACAAAAATATAAAATAATTCATGTATACTATAAGCTGTATATGAATTTAACTTCAGGTTTGATATTGAAGCTGAACTTAAAAAAGTGGATTCCGAAGAGGTCAAAGACAAGACACCAGGCAAGCCTAAAATGAATGGAGTTTCACCTGAAATTGATACTACAGGTATGTTAACAAGTTTATATTCTTTTAAAACTTCTTAGAAAAAGCTGCCTAGTAAAGTTGAATCTTTACAATCTTGCTTTAAAAACTGCTTAATAACATTAGTATATTTATCACAAGGATTGAGTGAAGAAGAAAAACAGATCAAAGCCAATAGAGAAAAAGACAAAGGAAATGAGGTAAAGAATATGCTATCTAAATTAAAAAGTGTTTTTTAAACTTTTTGAGATTATAGATAGTTTCATAAAAATTGTATCTTCATTTAGGCGTTTGGTTCTAAAGACTTTGAAGAATCAGTGACATATTATTCTCGCAGTATCTCACTCATGCCAACTGCTGCTTCTTACAACAACAGAGCATTGGCGTGTAAGTATCTTCACACTAAACCTTGCTGGTCACAATTTGGTTTCTGGGCATTTTTTGTTACTAAAATACTATTTTCATTTTGCAATTTAGAGATTTATAAAATTATATGCATAGGCAAAAGTGATCTCTATAATGAAACCATCATAATTAACAAATTTCATCTAACTTAGTGAAGTCTGATTGGAAAATTTTCCTCCAATCAACTATTTGACTTGTCAAAGTATTGATTCATATAGCTCCCTAGCTGTTTACATTACAGGGCAATCATAGATATTAAAATTTCTTTTCTCGCTAAAAAAAACTATGCATTGTATCAATTTTTCTTATTTGAGTTGTATAAGCTGTTACATTTACATGATTTACCCTACTTATTTCAAAATCAGATTTAAAGCTAGAAAAATGGGACCAGGCTATAAATGACTGCAACAGTGTTCTAAATTTAGAAGCCAACAATATTAAAGGTGAGTATATGTTACAAACATTGCTGCACTGGTTAGCCTTTGTAATTTAAATTTTTTATCTTAATGGTTTGTCTTTTGATATTTTATAAGACAAGGGTAGCAATAAAATTAATATGATTGATAGTGAAATTGAATCTTTATTCTTTTTCTAGCATTATTAAGAAGAGGAACAGCTTTTAAAAGCAAAAAGAATTACCCAAAAGCATTGGTTGATTTTGAAAAAGTGCTGGCTGTTGAGCCAAATAATAAGAAAGCTCAGGTAAGTTGCCTGATTTGTACAGGAAAAAAATTAAAAAGAAATATCAGTCTTTGAACTAAACACTTGAATAATTTTTATTTTTAGGATCTGCTAGAAGAAGTAAATGTGGAAAAACTTAAACTGGAAAAAGAAAAGAAAGAGAAAGGAAGGCGAATGGTTATAGAAGAGGTGGAGGACGGTGAAGATGAATGTGAAGAAGTGGAGATAGAGAAACCTGTTGTAAATGGCCTTGGGCCTGACAAGACAGATCATAAACAAGCAACATCCACTGAGGGAGCACAAATGACTAAGGAAACAACAGCTATGTGTGAACAACCAGATGACCAGGTTACACAGTCCACTTGTGTAGTGCCAGAGCCCATCCCCTCCCATGATTCTTTAAAAGACAATTGTAAAGACCATACAACCACAGGTCCAGCTCCTTCTAAGATGCCTTCTACCTCTGCCTTAGATTCTTCACTATCTGAACAAAGCTTACAAAACTCACCAAAAGTGTCTTTCACTCTAGAAGATGATGCAGCTGACCAAGAAACAACTGCTGCCTCACCCCCTGTGATCTCACCCGCAGCAAACCAGCAATACTCACGTCCAGAGTTTATACAGCTCCCACTGTCTTCTGAAATTCTTGAATCAAAAGAAAACGGAAATTCATTTTTTAGAAGTGGCCAATATGGAGATGCAGTGGATCAGTATTCAAATGCCATTTCAAAGCTTAAAAAAGGTAATAAAAATAATTAATAAATAAAAAAAAATTAGTCTTAGTATTATGATAAACTTATAAGTTAGATAATCAATTATAAAGCCCAATCATTAAAAACCTTCACTATTTTAGATCCAGAACAAATTGTCAACCTGTCAGTTCTATTGAGTAACCGTGCTGCATGCCACTTGAAGACAGGAAATTGTAGTCTAGCAATAACTGACTGCAGTGAAGCACTACAGTTGGTGCCTCATGGGACCAAAACACTGTTACGTCGAGCTATGGCTTATGAAAATATGGAAAAGTAAGTTAACTTCTTTTTCTATGTCTAGACAGTTATAACATTTAATAAGACTTCTAAAATGGCAATAGTTGACTTGTTTATTTTTCCTAGATATGCTGAAGCTTATGTTGATTACAAGCATGTTTTGAGTATTGACAAATCAACTGAGCTGGCTCATCAAGGTGCATCCAGGTAAACTATTATCTAATGTAGTGCTTTAAAATATATTGTGTACACTAATGGTACAAGCCTACTTTATAGAGTGAGGAAAGCACAAAGTTTCCTGTTTCAGATGTCAAGGGATGCTACAGCAGCAGAATGGCTCAAGTTGGCGCAAGAATTTACCTCCTCTTGTCTTTGTTCAGCCCTGGGAGGTACCTGTCATACTGGACCAAGCTGGACTTCATACATCGTTATCGTCATCTTCATCTCTAGTGGATAAGGAAAGTAGGTTGAATATTACAATTATTTTTTTGACACAGGTAGAGCAACATTATGATACATGTACATGTTTTGTGAAGAGAGTATTCCATTCTGCTGAGCACACATTGCTGTGAGCATGGGTGCCCTGTTGACCACCAGTTGTTGAATTTTTTTTGTTTACCACATTTATGTTCACTCTCCTGATTTCAGCAACCAAAGTCAGTCCATTGCACCAAGTTAGTGAAGCAACAGCCCAGAATTTAGCTACAAGTACTTCTGAAACAAAAGAGAAAGTAAAGGATTTTCCAACTCCAGAAGTTAAAGAGGCAGCAAATAATTGTACCAAAGAACCAATTAAATTTACCAAAGAAGAAGAATTTGAGAGATTAAAAACACAAGGAAACCTTCATGTACAAAAGGTGCAGCTTACTGTTTATTTGTTTGTACATGTTTCTGGTACTAGAATGTTTATTAGTAACTTGAAATATTCTGTATCTAGCACTAGAATGTTTACTGGTAACTTGAAATATTCTGTATCTGGCACTAGAATGTTTACAGGTAACTTGAAATATTCTGTATCTAGCACTAGAATGTTTACTGGTAACTTGAAATATTCTGTATCTAGCACTAGGATGTTTACTGGTAACTTGAAATATTCTGTATCTAGCACTAGAATGTTTACTGGTAACTTGAAATATTCTGTATCTAGCACTAGGATGTTTACTGGTAACTTGAAATATTCTGTATCTAGCACTAAAATGTTTACTGTTATGTTGTATTTCTTGTCAGGGGGAACATCTGGATGCTGTCAACTGCTACAGCCAATGTATAGGTCTGTGCCCTGATCAAATAGCCAGTTATACAAACAGAGCTTTGTGCTACCTCAAACTAAATATGGTAAGCATCTTTACTTATTTTGGTTTTTCATAAGAAAAACCAAAATTAATTATGTATATCTAAGATGTTTATTGGATTGTATCAATATTTTAATTTAAAAAAAAACTTTTTGTGGATCTGTTTATTAACTAGATTTGAGTAGAATTTAGTTCATTGTTATTGAATGTTTATAAAAAATTTTCTATCCATAGGCTACAGAGGCTTCCAACGACTGTGATAAAGCTTTAAGCATGCAAGCTGATAATCCTAAGGCTTTGTACAGAAGAGCCCTTGCTCGAAAAGTAAGAAAACAAGTTTCATCGTTTCATAACATGTGATATAAAAGTTGTACCATTTACAGTTCAGGTCTCATATTTTCAATTATTGTGTATCTTCTATTTACTTCTTAAATAATATTCCAAACACAAATGTAGTATGAAATGTAGAGTAAATCAATAGTTAATACTTTATTTCCTATGTGATAAGAATAATTGTTTAAATGTAGATGCTGCTTCAATATAAAGCCAGCCTTCAAGATCTTGTTGAACTGCTTAAGCTGGAGCCTAAGAATTCAGCTGCCCAGAAAGAAATGGACACTGTCAAGATGGCTTATAAAGAAGTATGCTTCATATTTAATATTTCCATAGTAATCTACTGTAGAATATTTTCAATATTATTTTTGCCAGTTTATTCTTCAGTAACAAATTTTTTTGAATTCAGGAGCTTGAAAAGTTGAAAGCTAAAAAAGTGGAAAAAGAAACCAAGACTAGGAAAAGAATGAAAATTGAAGAGATAGAAGATGATGAAGAAGAGGAAAAACCACCCAGAGCAAAAGCAACAGGTACTGAATTTGATCCTGTTTACACCACATGAAACTTTTAATTAAGTTGATGTTGGGAAACCTTTTATTACAAAGTAATGTATGGTTACAAGCCATTTAAAAAAAAATTTAAAAACTGAATTTTTTTTTTTATTGTAGAAAAATCCAAGTCTCAGAACAAATCAAGGAATGTTAAAACAAGCCAGACAACATCAGGCAGCAAAGCCAAAACAAACTCAGAGAAACAAAAGATGAATGAGCCATCAAATAAAGTAACTCCGCCCATTGCCCCAAGGCTGATGAAAACCACACCATATGAATTCTGTCAGGCTTGGAACTCCCTGAAATCTTGTCAAGGCATTCAGCCGTATGCTGAGATTTTACGCCAAGTAGCACCTGTTGATTTGCCAACAGGTCGGTTAGAAACTGTTATAATTTTTGTTGTCTTTGGGTATTACTTGGTTAAAATTATTTTAAAATTATTTTAAAAAAAAGTACGTTTTTAGATTTGACTTCCACTTTAGCAGATAGTTTCTATCTCAGCATATGTAGGGATTGTATGTTTCGCAAAATATTTAATTACTTATACGGAATACATTAAAATCTCTGAGTGCTATGTGTATAAGGCAACACATTATGTGAGTGTTTTATCCTATAACTGATTATGCTACATACTGACACTGTTCTATTTCTGATTGCTTTATACAGCTAATCATTTTTGTTTTTAGTGATCAGTAACAAACTTGATGGGCAGATGCTGCAGATCATTGTTAGGTGTGTTTATGAAGAGATGGTGTTAAAAGGTAATGTTTCTTTAATCATAATTTTGTTCTTATTTTCAGATGATTTATAATTAATTGTTGTTATTATTAGATTTTTCTCTAATTGATTAATTTTTTGTTTCAATAATTATAGGTGAAATTGATACTGGATTTGAAATCTTGGATAATCTATGCAAAGTTCCTAGATTTTCAACTGTATCCATGTTCATGAATAGTAAAGAGAAAAAGGGTAAGCACATTTTTTGTTTGATCTGTGAATATTTAAAGAGATGGTAATGTTAAGAGATAGTTGTCTTTAATGATTAAAACGTTTTAAAAGTTTACACATAAAGTTTTTTGATGTTTGCACATGTTGCAGAATTCCACAAGCATCCATTCACTACATAAACACAGGGTACACCATAGGGATGGATGCTTGTGGAATTCTGACCCAACAGCATGTGATAATTTAAAAGTCTACATAAGGTGCTCTAGAGGTTTACCCCAGCTTTTTGTGTTGTTCCAGAGGTATCAGCTGTGTTAGAAATTTTGTCCAAAACCACTTCCAATGTCTACACCAGTGCTGATGTTGTCAGGCTAAAGAAAGAATATTCAGTCAAATAAAGGTGGCAAGATATATGCATCATTGTATCTGTTCAATTTTTAAGGAAGTTTCCCTGTCCAGTTATGGTTTTTTACCCTGTCATTGTTTGTTCACTGCAGAAAAACTATTTTAAAATATTTTTATAGCATTGATTGTTTTTTACTTTATATTCTTCATCTTTAAACTTGGCAGATAATGAAGTAATAATTGCTGCTTTTTCCTTTTCTACAATTGTTTTTGTATTTCAGCTATTTTATATTGCTTTTATTTTAAATACTTTTTGGAAATATTTAATATAAAACAGGTTATGAGTGAAATATTGCTTCAGTATTATCTTGAAAAATCTTTGTGATTATTTCAAATCTGGCATTTTAAAAGGTGAATTTAAAAAAAAACGTTATAATTTGTTTTCATTTATTGAGTTTGATCTTGTAAGCTGCTTATTAATATAGTTTTACATTAACTCAGACTTCATCATTACATTTAAATATTTTTTTTTATTAGAAATGAATTTTTAAATGAGATCAAATTCAAAGTAGTTTGTACATCTCAGGAGTGATAAGTATGAAGAATTTCAGAATCTCTAAATGTCTGTGTTATCTCCCTTGTCATATAGCCCCATGTCTGCTTGCTTTATGCTAGTGAAGTTATGTAAAGATTTCTCCATTTCACAAGTCATGGATATTTAGAAACTAGTATGGTAGCTTTATTGCTTGGCAGATGAAATGATTATGCTCTGACAATTTACTGGGAATGGAATGTTTTGTTATTCAGGTCTTAGCTGAAATAGCAAATTACATTTTTTCCATTGTTTGCCAATTATTTTGTTAAGTATAATTAAACAAGTATTTCTAAATTCAAACTAATGGTATTTCGTTACTGGTAAGTAAAAGCAGGTTTTAGTCACCATAGGTAGTTTCTGTCAACTTTTTGATGTTATTGGCTTCTCTAAAAATATAGACAGTTGTCTTTTTCTCTGATTTGAGTCTCATGTCTAATTTAGCAAGATTTGTGTCTTAACACAGTGAATGTTTGTCATCAGACCACATGGTCAGACAGTAGTGCACATGACAGTAACTTGAGAGACTCTAGTTCAGATCATGGAAACCCAGCCAGAAACAGAATGTTTGATGCTAGTTAGTCTTTTCACAGATTGTTTGTTGTAAGTTTGTCACCTGTGAACCTGGTCCTTGACTGTCATGTCCTGCTAGGTTTGACCATTAGCTGGTCATGTCCTGCTAGGTTTGACCACTCGACCTATGTGCGCGCCAGGCTTAAGGGAGCACTTTCAGATATCAAATTGATATCCGGTTTCCTTTCCTTCTAGCCCTGTAGCTAGTTTTTCATGTAAATGTTTTCACTGCCCCTATCTCCACAATATTTGGCCTTGTATATAAAGAGGTTCATATATTATATAGGTTTTTTATTACGTGTTCAATCATGCATGATGTTTTTAATTGGTCTTACTAGCATTTGAAAGGTAAAAATAAAATATTTTTCTATTCTTTTATTTTTGTTTTGCTGAATGTTTGATTTAAGAGTACCCAACACAAAACTTAACTGAAACCGTTCTTTCAGATATCTCAGAAAATGTCTTGACTCTTTAAATATACATTTTGATCAAGGCTTGCATGATACAATTTAGCGTTGTCGTCTATACTGCTGGCTTATAAATATAATGTGGCTCCGTAGCCGATTAGACCATTGGATGATTGCGCATCGGAAATCCAATCACAAACCCTGGACCCTTACTTGAAGAGCCAGATGTTGACTATGCATCATGCCCGCTCTCTCCTCACAGCTGATGGACCTAAGGGACAATTTACCTAGACACTAGGAATCAGCAGTGTCGCTGAAAGGAAACCACTGCTAAATTATTGTACAAATTATTGTGGTACAAATCTGTAAACTCGTGATCATGTGACAGTACAAAAGATTATGGTACAAACCTATATTTATAAAGCACTGTTGTAATGTACCATTTATAATGGTACACAGTATTTAGTGTCCAACCACTTTCCTGGAATATAGTACAAATAATTGTATAGAAGCTGTCTAGATGATGGTATAAATCTGGTTTACAATTCTGGTCCTAACTTCTTCCTTGTAATAAATATCCATCCCCTTAGCGTGACGTCACGGCAAGTATTTTAACCATGGAGATTATCGTTAGGACGGAAACGGGTTGGTAATGCAACTGTCTGGATAGATCGTTTACCCCCCACCCCCTGCCCGCGCTGGGCGCCCAAAGCTCCCCACACGATCCCATTCAAGTGAAACTCAAATACCAATGTGGCCCCAGCATAATCCACATCTGTGGAACTCTTCAGCCCCCCCCCCCCTCAGACTAATAATCTCTGGTAATTTCATACCACACCCGTGTTCGCCACACCCCTTCCTGCTCTACACTAGTCCCCCACCCCCCACCCCTAGACTGGGACACAGGTCTCCCATTAACTCTGAGATTGATCTTTCATTTTTCCCCCTCTCTTTCCAATATTCAATACCAGGTCACGCATTTGTAGCACTTGTGGAAAATAACACGGCGTCACCAACACAAATCATCTTTTATTTGAAACCTAGTTTCTCCAGCGCGGTAACTTGCAACAAATTTCACATCTAGTCAGTTTTTTTAACTGCTATGAATAATCAAATGGTCGTTTAATTTTCATAGGACATTTCGCATGTCCTTAGTCTTTTAATGCTTACACTAGCTGAAATCTTGTTGGATCACAGTTTTACACGGATTGGCATCTAGGCGGATCACAGAGAACTGTCATCTAGTTAGATCCCAGTAATACAGTATCTGTCATCTAGATCAGGGGTCTCCAAACTTTTCAGTTTGAGGGCCGCATTAACTATGAAAATTCAGTTCGGGGGCCAGTTTCTTCCTGGCATGTCTTTGATTTTTCTGGACAAGGTTCCTCAGCCATCACCAACAATCGTTTTTTTCCGTGGACAAAAAGATCTCTGCGGGCCGGATGAGAGGACCTCGCGGGCCGCATTCGGCCCGCGGGCCGTAGTTTGGAGACCCCTGATCTAGATGGATCACAGTTTTACACGGATTGGCATCTAGGCGGATCACAGAGAACTGTCATCTAGTTAGATCCCAGTAATACAGTATCTGTCATCTAGATGGATCACAGTTTTACACTAGATGACATCTAAGTGGATCACAGTTTTACACTAGATGACATCTTGGTGGATCACAGTTTTACACTAGATGACATCTAAGTGGATCACAGTTTTACACTAGATGACATCTAAGTGGATCACAGTTTTACACTAGATGACATCTTGGTGGATCACAGTTTTACACTGGATGACATCCCAATTGTAAAAAAAAAACATTTCCCCAGTCCCAGCCTCCCCCCCCCCCCCATTTCACAAATTAACGTTTTGAAAAGATAATCAAACTAATCGCCGAAACCTTTCACAATAAAAAACACACCATAATTTAAACATTTTTGTTTGGTGTCATTTATTTTTTTAAAACATTATATTCATAAAATAAAAGAACATCACAGGCTGCGCAATAATTTGAATCCACATTTTATATTCCAGATTTAACAAAATGCACATCTTCAAGTAGAAATGGAACAATATAAAATATTTTATACTTCTGTCGTCTTCATTACTAGACAACCAATTAATTTGTATTTATAACACTTGAATTTGAATATACTTTTATACTACTTATAGCAACCATAAAGCTGTTCTTGTAAACCGGATTTTATACATCACGTTGTCTGAATTTTATTTGTATTTTTAAAACAATCAACAAAGTCTCAGACAAGCGCAGTTTTAATTTGTGAATTTTTTTGGTTCTTTTTATTTTATTTTTGGGACCACAGCCAGATTGAAAGTGGTGGTAGACAAAAAAAATGTCTGACTGGCGTCGTGTCAAGTCAATGATTAATGAGAACTCCATTATTCTATCCCCACACTTCTGTGTTAGTGAACCATGTTTGAGAGGACGGGAGTGTTGGAAGTGGAAATAAATTGTTGATATTGTTGGGTGGCGAAGTTACATACATAGTGGATACAAATTTTATGTTTGATTGATTACAAAGCTTTAAAAGACATATTTGTTCCACCCGTTTGTTAAATTTTTCTTCAAACGTATTCTTCCTTTTTGTTAAATATATGAGAGTTCATAGTTCAACTACTATTCGAATTTCGAAGATTTTTAAATTTTGTTTTAGTTGTTACATTTAAGGGACAAAGCAAAATATATAACTGTAAATAGTTTTAACAGTGTTGCTATCAAAGCATTATGGTAAAATGTGGACACGTTTCTCATTCTGGGATCTTGTACACTTTGCATAACACAAGAATACTCTCTCCCACTTGATTGTTAAATTATTTGCAACACAAATAAATAACAAAGTAAAACAAACATCTGAAGTTTTTAACGTTACACCAAAATCTTTCTAACCGAAATTAGATAAAGTTGGGTTATGGTTTTTGGTCAGCATTTCTTACTTAACTGTTACATCGTGAGCAGGATTTACCAACGGAATGTTAAGCAATCATATACCCACACAGCACGTGACTCAATGCTCCCCCCCCCCCCCCACACCCAATCTGGTAGAACGGTCATTGTATCCCCAATCCCTTGCTTACAGTCTGGGGGGGGGGGGGGGGAGGGGGGGGGGGACAATTTCGGGGAAATAATCTAGCATAAACCTAGTACTTGTGTGTTAAGCTATCTTTAGGGATAAAAAAGTTATGGAAAAAAGCATTTACTATCGAAAAAAATATGTTGTCTAGCCAGTATAAAGTATATTATCAAACCTACAAATCGAACGTCAAATACTATAAATATTTTGGTAGAATGATTGTATTAAAACGCGTCATAATAAACTTTAGAGTCATAATACGTTATAGATAACACAAGCTTAACAATACGTCACAACGTCACAACTGCGAGTAACGCATCACGTTGGACTGTAGTTTAAGAATACGTCATAGCTGACTTAGTGTAACATTATATCACTACTACCCACCCCCTCTGTAACAGCAAGTCGCCACCATCAGCTAATAGACACCAATGTCACAAACTCTATGTAACTTTATTACTAAAACATGTGTTGTTCAATAATGACGGAAGGGGGAGGGGGTTAAAAAGGGGTATTAATTTAGTTACAACCAAATGTTACAACGTTCGGCAGTAGCGTAACGAGGGGGGGGGGGGGCGGGGGGGGACATATGTCCCCGGGCGTCGACCTTAGGGGCGCCAAAATGGGTTGGAAAAATAAATTGAAAGGTTGAGGGGGGTGCAAATCGAAATTTTGAGGGGGGGGGGGGTGCAAATCGAAATCTCGAGGGGGGTGCAAATCGAAAGTTTGAGAGGGGGGGGGGGTGTAAATCGAAATCTTGAGGGGATGCAAATCGAAAAGTTTGTCTCCGGGCGCCGGGAAGGTTCGCTACGCCTCTGACGTTCGGTCAAATCAACAATCATATTTATTAAATTATTATAAGTGACTTGGTTGTTTTGACATAGTTGCCATGACTTGCTAGACTTGACTTTTCAAACTTGACTTGTTAGTCTTGACTTATTGAACAAATTAACTTGCCATGTTTTCAAAAGATGTACCTATATTACTATAACCTAATGCTCAGTTAGATTGTCAGGTATCATGACAGAGAATTTGACTTAGCGTTAAACACCAAATTAATTCACCGCTAAACCTAGCCGAGAATGAAATTTTAATCATAACCGTGAATTCATTCCTGCAACCTGAAAATTGAGCAAATTATATCGGAAACAAGTCATTATTTTGGTACATAGCAAAACATTGAAACAGTATTTTTGTTTTTTAAAATTCATCAAATTGGCGAGACTTTTGTTTCTAATTATCTTAGAAACAAATGTCTGAGAACACATGTATTCAACTAAGAACATGTATGGAACAAATGTACCCAGGAATAAATATGTTCAGGAACAAAAGTACCCAGCTCAGAAAATTTTACCCAGCTCAGAAAATTTTTACTCAGCTAAGAACATTTTTACCCAGCTAAGAATATTTTTACCCAGCTAAGAATATTTTTACCCAGCTAAAAAGAAATGTGTCCAGGAACAAATGTAACCAGCAGTGGCGTAGCGAGGATTTTCGGGCCCTATGCAAAAATTATCGGTGGGCCCCCTTCGTCAGCCGTCAGGCTACAATGGAGTTAAACGAAGAAATCAACTGCTGCTTATGATGAAGGGTTTTAAATAATATAAATATTCTGTACTTTTTATATTTTATACACGATTGTGCATATTTACTATCTATAACATTATGTAGTTTTGTAAAAATGTTACAGGCTAACAAACACAGTAGCGTCTTAGGGTGGGGGGCAGAGGTGCAGTCCGCATCGGATAACAACATATGGACGTCATGACACCATGACTAAACATTGAAAAATTTACTTTCATAGCTTTGTAGCGAGCTAAAATAATAAAGATTAGTGAGAGGAGTGACACACTACGGAAAATGCAAAGTTGTTGGGGACTATGGGTTGACACCTTTAGTAAACGCACAGGGTAACACCCGACTTTGTGACGCCACTAATCAAATACTTTGTTTTAAAAACTGCTCATGATTTATTTAGATTTTTCTTTCATGCTTTTAATGATGTAAAATGATTAATAAGTTCATTGAAATTTACGGGTGCTGGATGCCGATCTCACAAAAGAGTCAAAGTTTATTTATAGTGATATTACTACGGATGCCCCCCCCCCCCCCGACCCCCACTACTTGTAAAGTAAGAAAGGACTGGGGTCCTTTTTTTGGAAATTTAAATGATTTCTACAATAGAAAAGAAACTGGATTTTCATTTTCTTTTTGAAATTATGTAAAACAAATATAAAAATTCCAATTTAAAAGTCAAACATTATTTAAAGAGGGAAAAGGGCCCCTAAATGCCTTGGGCCTCTATGCCTTGCTTACGCTAGCTTTTCGGTAGCTACGCCACTGGTAACCAGAACACATTCTGTTATTTTAGCGCTGCTAAGATAGTGAGCAATTAGATTTCAATTTACGCTAATGACTTGTTCTCCGCCAACTACATACGATATAACCAATCACTCTCTCACAAGATAAAACCAACCACTCACACAGAAGATAAAAGCAATCTCTCACACACTCACATAAAAGATAAAACCAACCACTCACACAAAAGATAAAAGCAATCTCTCACACACTCACATAAAAGATAAAACCAACCACTCACACAGAAGATATAAACAATCTCTCACACACTCGCATAAAAGATAAAACCAATCACTCACACACACAAAAAAAAACATCCAATCACTCACACAAAAAATAAAACCAACCTATCACACAGAAGATAAAAGCAATCTCTCACACACTCACACGAAGATAAAAACAATCACTCACATAAAAAAAAAATAAAACCAATCTCTCACACAGAAGATAAAACCAATCTCTCACACACACACAAAAGTAAAAACAAATCTCTCATACACTCACACAAAAGATAAAACCAACCACTCACTCAGAAGATAAAACCAATCACTCGCACAAAAACCCAGTACAAAAATTCCCTAGTTGAGCCAAACACGACTAACCAGTTATCCACGCTCCATACGAAGGATTACTAAACAAAGAGCCGGGTAAAGGCATCATTTTTGTGAACAAGAACAATTGAATGCAAGCAATAAAGTCACCATAAGACAGTTAAGAACATAGGGACGAGTCGACACAATTTCGTAAAACTTCGGTTTGGAATTTAAAAAAAAAAATTAGTCTTCAACATCGTTGTTCTGTTGTTCGTTTAGTTCTCCCAACCCCCTCACCTTAAGCTGATACCTTACAACATATAGATTTTACAAGATTTTCAAGAGCTTTACCCGACGATGGAGATACCTTGTTTTAGAGTTTTTGCCTTAAGACAAAATTTGGATACTTGCTGTTTACTCTCAACTCTACTCGGGCGTTCCAAGCTACCACATGATGTGTGTGGTTATAGGTGTGTGTGTGTGTGTGATTGTAACAGTTAAATGTAGATGAATGTATGTTTCGAGTGTGTATCTTAAAAAGACGATATGAATATAAAATATAGGATGGATGTGCGCATGCGCTAAGGAAAGGAAGCAGAGAGAGGTAGATAGAGCGCGAGGAGATGACGAAACTGAAAGTCGTGGTTCTAGTAGTGTAGCTGCTATATGTCTGATATCAATTAAAGACTGTAAAATCACCAATAATGTGGTTTGTATTTGCCTTCAGTGTGTGCCATGAACCCAGTCATATAAAACGGCTGTGACAGTGGGTGTGAATCTTTTTTTTTAGAATTTAATAAGGAACATGAAAACACATTTAATGGCGTCACTAGAGAATGAGTTACCCATATGCGCTACGCCCCCACCTCCATCCCTTAGTTACCGATAATTCTAGCGGAAATTCGTCAAATACATATATTTCGCTACAGCACAACAGTAATTTGAATTTTATACTGCTGGAAATCTCTTATGCCAATCAGTGGATACTACATTAGCTAATTATTGAGCTTGCTTGTGGGTACTTGAACACACGATGTAAGGATGAAGCTATCCAGTGCTTAACTTCTCCAAGGTTTACTAACCTTATCCCTCAACAAATAGATCCAAAATTATTTGCAAATACTGAATTTCTCACTCGTCTTAAATATTATTGAAATCCACATCCTGTTTCCACCCTCTCCGCATGGAAGAAAGAAAAACAAACCTTATTTTTGCGTTATTTAATCAACGTGTATATAATAAAATATGACATAAATAAATTGGAAATAACAAGATAGAATACATAAAAAAATAACTGCAGTATATTATCACCGAGTTGTTCATGGGTCATTATACAAATTATGCAACAACGTTTGTTCGTATACATTCAAGATGTCCGATTCTCGCTACGTTAGTCTATTTACAGATTTGATCTTGCGTAGAAAAATCTTATTGAAAGCACACCTAAAGCTGGGGTTGAAGATGGTGTAGATGATGGGGTTGATGAGACTGTTGAAGTAGCCCAGCCACAGACACAAGCTGAGCACGTACTCCGGCACACAGAAGTGCCCACACAGGGGCGTCACCACGGCTACAATGAAGAACGGGAGCCAGCAGACGACGAAGGCACCGGTGATGATCCCCAACACCCGCGCCGCCTTCCTTTCCCGCCGCATTTCCATCTTTTCCCGCCTGTACCTTTCTTTATCGCCGCGGCGCATGCGCTTACTGACGTTATTGTTGGACGGCATGCCTGGCCTTGTCAGGCCGACATTCACGGTGCATGCCGGGACTGTCAATGTGTTGGATAACAGACGTGTCAGGTTGGAATCCGGATCTAAAAGTGCTTGACCGTTTTCTTGGACATCCAACGGAGATTCCATATCCACTCTTGTCACGTCATTAGCATTGGTGCATGATGGCATGTACATGCTGATACCATCTTGACTGACGTCACTTCCTGATGAATGTCTCGTGTTAGTTCGCTGTGACGTTTCCAAGGTTACTACAGGAAGCGGGACGTGAAGAGAAGCTTGTTTAGGCGGACGCCCACCAAACCGCTTCTTCCTGATGCGGTACCTCGCGGCCCTGTAGATCTTGAAGTTGATCACCAACATGAGCAGCAGCGGGCAGTAGAAGGCGCCGACCGTCGAGAATATCGTGTATCCGTGGTCCTGGGATATCAAACACTGACCGGATAATTCCGGCCCGTCAGAGTCATGCCTCCAACCGAACAACGGCGGTATAGATATACAAATGGACACCATCCACACGATCGCTACCATGAAAAGAATCTGTCTAGCGTTCCTACTGCGGACATAGTCGATGTTGGACACGGCCCAGTAGCGGTCAAAAGCTATAGCCACAAGATGGAGGATTGATGCCGTGCAGCATAGAACGTCCATGGAAACCCACATGTCACACACGGCGTTCCCTAGAAACCAATGGATGCTTACTTCGTTAATTAGACTAAGGGGCATAACTAGCACTGCAACTAAAAGATCCGTGGTGGCTAAAGATAGAACGAGGTAATTTGAAACACCCTGTAGAGATTTCTCCACGACTATAGCCGTGATGACGAATATATTCCCAAGAATGATGGCCAAGATCATCCCTCCGAGGACGATGCAGATAATTATCATAACCGGCTCGCCGTATTTAGGCAAGTGGTAGCCGAACCCGCCGGAGCTGTAGACGTACTCGTCGCTTCCGTTGTGGAGGGGGTGGTTGAAAGAGGCGTTGGGGAATTCCCAGTGCTGAGAGACGTTGATGTGCTGCAACATGGTGGCCGTGCTGAGATAGCCGGCTGCCTCATGGTCGGACGTGTTCAACGCTGATTGGTCGGAGCGAGGCTGCGGCTTGGCTGTGGACATGAACTCGGTCAGAGTGACGCTTGGTGTTGTCATAGCAACGTCAGAAGTGTCGCCGGCCGACTCAGCTCATCCTTAGCATCGGTTTAGCCAATGGTCAGCAGTCAGCCTTTCTTTCATTGGTTGTTGTTTTTTCTTATGTCTTATATAGATGTGTGTAGTTTTTTAGTGGACATTTTTAAGCTGCATGTAGAGTAGGCGTCCAGAGCTGGTTGATCTGGAAAAAAAATGTCGTGTATAAGTTAATTACAGGTTTTTTAATTTAAAAAATATTAGCTGTTGCTAAGTGGAAGTTAATTTTATGGAAGTTAGTTTTAATTAACATTTTAGCGTAAAATTAAGTTAATAAGTAATTTAATTTTTGCGTAATGAGCAAGTTGTGCATGAAATTCACCAAACTGTAGCAAATTCTCAAGAGACTTTCTAACCAACTCACCAAAATGAACATGAAAATAACTTACTGTAGAAATTATTTACAAAATCAAATAACTAATTATCAAACTGTACGTTACATTTACAGAACTGGACAATAAATTCACCAAATTGTACAATAAATTCATTCAACCAATAGCAGTTTTTTCAGTCAGGCATTTCTCCGAGAGGGGGGCGGGGCTAACTAAAACAAACATTAAACTAACAGAGCTGAGTAGGAACTTCTTAGTTAATTAAGACTAATGAAGTATTAAATCAAGATGATTTCATAGCATGCGGCATTTAGTTTTTAAACTCATAGCTGATTGGCACAGTCTGCCAGTGTGAAAAACAGAGTGATTTCCCTTCAAATAAAATCTAGCGGGCTGGCCACAACCGATCTGTTGTGAGAATTAATTTATAATTTTGTTCTGTGAAATTTCAGAGCGAAACTTTTTTAAATAACGCATTGTTGTTGTTTCCTCAAGTAAACATGAATTATCCTAAAAATGCTGAGTTAAATACCGTGAGATTTTTGTAGGGCGAGGAAGGCGGGGTTGGGCTGGGGGTGTGGGGGTGGTCAAGGAGAACATTGGATGGGGGGGGGGGGAGGGATACCAATCGATCAGCACATATCATATTTAATGTCTGCAACAGTGGAGCTGTTATATTTGGAGCTTCAGAACGTGTAAAAATGCTTTTTAGAAAATGATGGCCCGATTTAGAAGACGCACGCCAGGGAATATTCTCATCCCAAAATAGGATAGTTAACTAATCAGAGCTCCCCTCATGGGTCGCCCGCACACCCCAGGGGTGGGGCGCTAGGCCCGTGTTTGTTGTGTCAATAGCATTTGCCTCTGTTGTTTCTTTACTTGAATCTATCCGCACCGCCGAAACAGTTGAGTTGGGAAATTGTTAAGCCGTAAACAAAATTAGCGTCAACTGTTTAAAAGATGAATCGCTTGCCGAGAAAAACAATTTCCCAATGGCAAAACAGAACAAAGAAATACATATTCAAACAATTACAGTGATAGATTGAGATACGTAATATAGATTGTGTGTGCGTTAGTGTGCATGTATTATATATATATATATATATATATATATATATATATATATATATATATATATATATATATATATATATATATATACATATATATATATATATATATATGCATATATATACATATATATATATATATATATATATATATATATATATATATATATATATATATATGTATATATAATATATATATGCATATATATACATCTATATATTTATTTACAAATATATATATATATATATATATATATATATATATATATATATATATATATATATATATATATATATATATATATATATATATATATATAATTATGTATACAGTAATGGCAGAAGGTGCTACAGAGGACATACATACAGAGAAATAAATAAACAAACGGCTAGCAATATTCAGTATTTGTTAGGGTCGATATACCAGTGATATTCTAACATTAGGGTCGATATACCAGTGATATTCTAACATTAGGGTCGATATACCAGTGATATTCTAACATTAGGGTCGATATACCAGTGATATTCTAACATTAGGGTCGATATACCAGTGATATTCTAACATTAGGGTCGATATACCAGTGATATTCTAACATTAGGGTCGATATACCAGTGATATTCTAACATTAGGGTCGATATACCAGTGATATTCTAACATTAGGGTCGATATACCAGTGATATTCTAACATTAGGGTCGATATACCAGTGATATTCTAACATTAGGGTCGATATACCAGTGATATTCTAACATTAGGGTCGATATACCAGTGATATTCTAACATTAGGGTCGATATACCAGTGATATTCTAACATTAGGGTCGATATACCAGTGATATTCTAACATTAGGGTCGATATACCAGTGATATTCTAACATTAGGGTCGATATACCAGTGATATTCTAACATTAGGGTCGATATACCAGTGATATTCTAACATTAGGGTCGATATACCAGTGATATTCTAACCAGGGGCGGAACTACCATACCGCCAGACCCCGCAATGCAGGGGGGCCCAGGACGTTTAGGGGCCCAGTTCCGACCAAAAAACAATGAATTTTTTTTTCAAAAATTATTTTTTTCATGCATCTTGAAAGTGGTTTTGTAAAAAAAAAAACAGGTCTACTATAGCAGAGATTGTTGCGTAGAAAAATATTTTAAAATCTACAAGAGCTATAGTTTGAAAGGTAGGCAAACATTCACACTACTTCCATGACTTACTGCCCTTCTTTAAAATAGGTATGCCCACGAAGCTCATTTAAATAGTTTTGTACTATGTATATTAAAAAGCAATTAATTTTTTGAATTGTTATTTAAATAAGACGTACTAAACAATGGTATAGCTATAAAAATCAATGTTTTCAAAATTGATAATATAAAAGCCAAAAATGAAAAAAATAAACATAACGCGAGAAACCATTCACGAATCAAGCTTACGTCTTTATATATTTTTGACCAGCATTTTTTGTAGGGGTCATGATTATTTCTAGACCAAGATGAGTTAGGACTGAATTTGTATGGTTTGTTCTCTCAGAATGGTTATATATTGCAATGAAGTAGACCAAATTACTCAGTTAGGATATATATATATATATATATATATATATATATATATATATATATATATATATATATATATATATATATATATATATATATATATATATATATATATATATATATATATATATATATATATATATATATATATATATATATATGTAGGGAGCCCTAAATTTTTCTTTGCGGGGGAGCCCTTTTTTTCTAGTTCCGCCACTGATTCTAACATTAGGGTCGATATACCAGTGATATTCTAACATTAGGGTCGATATACCAGTGATATTCTAACATTAGGGTCGATATACCAGTGATATTCTAACATTAGGGTCGATATACCAGTGATATTCTAACATTAGGGTCGATATACCAGTGATATTCTAACATTAGGGTCGATATACCAGTGATATTCTAACATTAGGGTCGATATACCAGTGATATTCTAACATTAGGGTCGATATACCAGTGATATTCTAACATTAGGGTCGATATACCAGTGATATTCTAACATTAGGGTCGATATACCAGTGATATTCTAACATTAGGGTCGATATACCAGTGATATTCTAACATTAGGGTCGATATACCAGTGATATTCTAACATTAGGGTCGATATACCAGTGATATTCTAACATTAGGGTCGATATACCAGTGATATTCTAACATTAGGGTCGATATACCAGTGATATTCTAACATTAGGGTCGATATACCAGTGATATTCTAACATTAGGGTCGATATACCAGTGATATTCTAACATTAGGGTCGATATACCAGTGATATTCTAACATTATTCAGATCAATAACCGCTAGCTGGAAGTTTTCCAATCGCTTTCTCTGTAACATAAGCTATACAATAGTTTAATGGAGACACTGGTCATGTTGTATAGTGTTGAGGGTGTAAGTTAAACAACTGTTGGGTGGAGCTATGGGCCATATAAGTGTAGGGTGGAGCTATGTCAGAAAATTATGTAAACATGATTTTCATTCAGAGTTTAATCCAACAAGCGACAATTAAATCGGTACTTTAATATAAAAAGGAAACCGATATTGGGTAACTAAAGGGTAACTAAAACATCGAAGAAAATAAATTGATTCACAAACAGTAATTCAGTTTAACAATCAATGTACGATTCCGTTAAAAATTTAACGAATTGTCATTTAGGGTGAATAGAATTCGTCGGTGAAACTGATGTGAAGTTGCTTTCTTTGACCGAATTACACTCTCAGCATTAAACATTCAACTACATAATTACCCACAGATTTTTTCACGTCTTCCCATTCTCTGTGGGGTTTAAATGACACAGTCTAGGTGTTGGAGATTAGCAACATTGACAACATCAGCCTACACAAAGCCAATCCATGTCATTACAGCAGCCTTGACCTTTCTCTCGGTGGATATTCTCTAGTTTAGGTAATCTGGTTGTTTGATTTCGCGGGTAAGTGTTTAGCTATGATGGGATGAATGGTATAACTACACATTCGCTTTTACCAAATGTTTCTTGCGTTTGTATAATATTCAGCATTCATTTCTCTTCCACTCAATGTTCAGTAGCTTATTTATTTTCTAACTATATGCGTACTTGGATATTGAACCTACACCAACTCAAACTGCTTGTCACCGCTAGATATAGAATTCACTTTCCTTTAAGCGCACTAAATCTTTCCCACGCCAGAAACGGGTGAATACATAGACCCTTGCGACTCACAAATTGGGAGATTTTGCAACCCTCTTGATGTCAACGACCTCTCGTTACCATGGTGACATACATACAAATCAGACAGTTATTTTTGAGCCCCCGTGCGATCCAAAAATTTCCTTATCCATAAGTGTGGTGTGGGTTTGTATGGGTGCCAGTTTGTATGAGTATGGGTTTTTATGGGGGTGAGATGTATGGGGGTCAGTTTGTATGGGAGCCAGTTTGTATGGGTGCCAGTTTGTATGGGTGCCAGTTTGTATGAGTATGGGTTTTTATGGGGGTGAGATTGTATGGGGGTCAGTTTGTATGGGGGCCAGTTTGTGTTATTGCAGATTCATGTGGTTGGTAATGTGTGTGTGTGTGTGGGCGGAGGGGGGGGGGGTGGAGATTGTAAAACATATTCCTTAAGTCAGTACGATTCGACAAGTTGGAGCTAACGAAACGGTTCAGCCAACCAATTTACACTACTTCAAAATTCAAAAATATTTTA